TACACCACAAGAATCTCAGTGCTCCTTTATTATTTCTATGATTTCTCCTTGTGATTTCTGACACATTTTCCGGATTCTTCAATCTTTCATCATTTATCAAAAGAAGTTTCATGAATCATCTGTTTCCATCTTTAATAGAGCATCTGCGACAAAGCCAATCATTGACGGATCACTTTTACTCAAAAATCCAAAAGCAGGATTTCAACATCTAAACGTTATGTGTAAGGACAGAAAGCCATGAGCTGCCCTACCTTAGCACTTCAACCTAGGCAGTCCAGGAGATCATTTATCGAGTAAAAGTATCATGAATAGCGCGTTTGCCACAAACTCCGCCAATTCCGGAACACTTTTACTCAGAAATCCAAAAGTAGGATTTCAGCATCTAAAAACGTTATGGGTAAGGACAAAAGATATGACGTGCCGCCTTTAAAGTAAATATTACCAAATCCACGAAATCATTTCTCAACCTCCAAAACTTTTCACACTCAATTACATCAAGCTACTTTTCCCTCATTCTAGTGTCCCGTTGGATCTGAAGTTCGCCAAACCCGCTTTCTATCAAAAACCAGACTTTGGGCAAAACTGATTTCAGCAACAGATCAGAAACTGCACTGCCAGAATGTACAACATCCAAGAATTCCTATATATCTCCACCACAAATAGCAGTATAGATAGATTCCCAATAATCTCTACAAGCCTTATATCTAGCAGAATTTGAAATTCCATTTGACCTGTCCGACTAAATCGTACAAAAAAATCGTTTTCCCTTACAACCGAGATAAACTTTGCAACTAATCCATACTGAACATATTCGATTTCGCTCATTCTTCTAAATTTTTCAACCATTTCCCAGCATGCTATTACTTTTATTACCCTATATCAATTTTTTTGTATTTTTGACGTCATCTTCACTAATCCTACGTTCAAAAGGTGATCATAGCAGGATTTCTTTGATGCTTTTTGTATTTTTCAGATTTCTCACGATCCCTGTTGCAGGATGGAGCAGAAATCTCCCAATATGGATCTCTTGATGCTGACTATCGAATGCTGCTTTCCACTATTCTCTACGATGCTTCGTTCAAAAGGTGATTTTTGCAGGATTTCTTTGATGCTTTTTGTATTTTTAGGATCCCTGCTGCAGGATACGCGGAAAATCATATGGAGTTTACTTATAGATGCGGGCGAGCATGTTAGGTTATAGAGAGTGCTCCGACAAGATCTGTTGGAAATATGATTTCTGTTATTGTTGTGTGACTTGGAGGAGGTTTTTTTGCTGCTTGCATTTGGTTAGAGTGATTCCTATGGAAATGTAGTGGAATTGATGTCTGTAGTGTGTGCACTATTGATGAGAGGGGTTTAGGAATGTATTTTTTTTCTTCAGAATTACGGCCGTATACGGTCGTTTACGTTGCAGTGTTTGGTCGTTTCCTGTTTATGATACGGCCGTATATGGTCGAACACGGGTTTGAAACGGTTGGTGTGTACTACCTTATACGACACGGCGATATACGGCGCATACCAAAACGTTAAAATGCGGCCCGTATACGGCCGTATCTAGTCGTCGTAATGCTCGACCTGGGATTTTTGTTTGCTACTTCCTATCCCTCCCGTCCTTCCATGTTTCTGTGTTTTTATAAGCACTTCCGAGTGTGACAATAAAAGAGCATAACCTAATAAAGTATCTTATAATAAATATAGAATACAATAACGTTAACATCAAAACAAAATAACTATCACAATTATCTCATTAACCTATTTGTGTTTCTTCTCATTGAAAAACGTTAGTTTGTTGATTATATGAAATACCGTAGCATTCAATTTGCTGCTTGATACGTCCAACATACTTTTATAAACATAGAGGGATAAATAGAGCAGTTCTAATGTATAAATCGATTTTTCTCACGGAAAAGATGGTAAAATAAGTTAGCTAATTTATCTACTTTGAATCATTGCAATAAAATCCACATGGAAGATATTATTTCTAATTTGAATTTATCGATTGGCTGAAGATAAGTCTATGAATGAAACCATTATAATAAAATAATCGCAACAATCGTTCTCCAACAAATTGAAATGGAAAATAAAATCTTGAATGCAATTGAGTTTATCAGAGTTTTAAAATGACGTAATTAGAACGTGGAAAAGATAAATATTATTTTCATTCGATCATTCGAATGTAATAGTATGCCATCGGTAGGAACATAGTTAGGGTCAATGTTTTGCAGGTACTCTAAAATTCTTCTGAATGTTGAATAAGATTAGAATAAGCAGCTGCTTTAACATTTTTCAGCTTGTACAGTTTTTGTTCACTTTTATATCGTCTCACGTTGACGCATATAAAAAAAATACTGTGGTAAGGCAGTGACCGAGTAGAGTCACCTTCTCGCTCTCTCTCTCTCTCTCTCTAATCTAATGATAATAAAAAGTATGCACTTTACGTCAATAATTTAGGATGTCAATACTCACAATTACTATCAAAATTTTCATCAGAATAACATAATAAAGAATACACGGCTAAATAATAACCAAGCAAATGCTATCGGTAACCTCGCTGGCAATTGAAAGAACTATTATGAAACTCAAAGTACGATCGGTTTTCTGTACAAATAAAAATACGTCATACCTACGGAAGAGAACATACTTACAGTACGCGATACTGAGGAAAGCATACGACCTCACCTGTACTACATCTGAAAAGTACGTCGTCACGATCGTATAAATACTACAGTCTTACCTTGTGCACTATATTAAAAGCAAAAATACATATATACTATTTTACTGTGGAAAAAAATTCAAATGCCTCCTCTTCAAGATAACAATGTACAAGTCAATACTGGAGTTGATAATGTTGATCTACAAGGAACGATGCCATCCGGTGATAAAACACATACAAAATATATTATAGAAATGCGTGGTGGTGATACTTTACAAGTACAATTATCGGTTGATGGTGCTCAAGCATTGGCTGAACTATCGCCACGTATTACTGTTACCTTTCATAATGTCTCCAAAGTGATCAATGTTCCAGCAAAAATGATTGATCCTTCATCCAAAAAACGATTCATCGAACGAAAACTGCTCGATCAAGTTTCCGGACAAATTCATCCGGGCCAAATCGTTGCACTTATGGGACCTTCAGGCTGTGGGAAAACAACATTACTCAATACCTTAGCTGGTCGAGCACTATCCGGTGTTACTGGTGATATTTGGTTCAATAATCAACGTTATGATAAAAGTATGAAACGAAAACTAGCTTATGTTCTTCAACAAGATATATTTTTCGAACAACTCACTGTTAAACAACAATTAACATATACAGCTCTACTTCGATTACCAAATCACTTATCGAAACAAGATAAACTAGCTCAAGTGGAACAAATCATTGATCAACTTCGTATTCGAAAATGTGCAAATACTCCAATTATGTTAATATCTGGTGGTGAAAAGAAACGTGTGAATATTGGTACTGAATTATTGACCAATCCGAGTGTTATATTTCTTGATGGTAAGTGAGAATAAGTTTTGAATATGCATGGGTAGATTTTCATACATATATATATATTAATATAGAACCTACATCTGGGTTGGATAGTACATCAGCAGTAGCTTTGATGGATGTTCTTCGTGATTTATCAATCCAAGGCAAAACTATTATCACATCAATTCATCAACCATCATCACAAATCTTTCAATCGTTCGATCAACTGATTCTCTTAGCAGATGGAAAAACTATTTTTATGGTATGTACTTTCATACATTCCTACACTCGAAACTTTATTCTTATCATTATTTATAGGGTAAACCATCTGATGCTCTACTCTACTTTGCTACTATGGGTCATCGCTCTCCACCACAATACAATCCAGCTGATTATGTCATGGATCTTGTAAATCAAGATATGACTATTCGTGAACAACTTAAAGATGCATACCTAACAAATAAACTTGTTGGTCATGTAAAGTCTGTATCAAATCAAGTACAATCACAGACTTCAACAAATGCTCACCAATATCTTATACCTGAACCATCTGGACACGAAGCCGATCTCACTAATCCAGATAATGTCAATTTAATACCTACCAAACATGAAAGTAAATGGCCTATTGGATTTCTACCACAAATGATGATACTCTTCAAACGTGCATTTGTGTTAACTGGTCGCAGTCAATTTACAATTCTTAACTTTGTTCAAGCATTAGGACTGGCAGTTGTTAGTGGATTGTGTTGGTTGAGAATGGAATTTGCTGAAAACACAATACCTGATCGATCATCATTCATGTTTTTCTTGATGACATTTTGGCCTTTGCACACCATGATGCATGGTTTACTATCATTTCCTTTTGAGCGTGTCATCATCGAAAAAGAACGAGCAAGTGGCTCATATCGTCTATCCTCGTATTTCGCAGCTAAATCATTAGCTGAAGCTCCAGTTAAACTTGTGTTACCAACATTATTTCTCATCATAGCTTATTGGATGGCTAATATCAATTCAAATTTCGGTATATTTCTAGCTGTTCTGGCTTTTCAACTGATGGCAGTTCTTGTGGCTGAATCACTTGGTTTACTTTTGGGTGCAGCATTAAAGAATTTACAACATGCAATCACAGTGGCTACTGTCCTTCTCATGAGTTTGATGTTAGTAGGTGGATTTTTCGTTCGAAATCTCCCACATTGGTTGGGTGTGTGGGGAAAATGGCTATCGTTTTTCAAATATGCATACAATGCATGCTTACAATTACAGTTCAAAGGCGGACAAATTTATCAATGTGTCGATGGCTCATACGTTTCTTCTTGTCGAAATAATCCAAATGGCACATTCATGAGTCATGAAGCACTCGAATTTTTTGATTCTGGAATTAGTATCGGCTTTAACTTTTTAGTTCTTTTCGGAATGTTTGTAGTTTTTCGAACACTAGCCTATCTGTCACTAAGATTCGTTAAGAATCATTCTGGTCGTTCTTGATTCTAAATTAGATTTCTTTTTTCACGTGCATATTTAATAAAACATGGAACATGAAATGAGATCATATGAAAGAATTTTTTATACAGGAGAAATGTGATTTATTTTTTATCAGGAGTCGACACTAATGAAATCACTTTCCCTCTTGTTTATCAAGGATAACCTAGATTTGGCAGATAAGCCGGTTATTGTACATTTGTATCGTTAGCACGTAGAAAATGTATGTATGCGTAAAAACTTTGTTCTATGCTATGGAGAAATTTACCAAATATCAAACGTTGATCTCGTTAATACTTGCACCGTTGTTTCTCTCCAAGAGCATGTTTGAAAAAACTGTCTCATCTTTGTAACCGTTATATGTTCCAGTTCAATTCTCAGCGTTCGAGATAGTGCCAAACAAAACAAACTACGAAGGTGATCGTAATAATTGCTCATTCGAGAATAATACGGAAGTAAACATTGAGTCAGCTACATGCTAGCAAATATTACTTTTCGATACGAATGTTATTTTGTCTGTACACTCTCATAATCTTCTTATATTTCCTTCACGTGTATTATATACATTTCTGGATGAATTCATATTTCCAAATCATTTCTCCTTTATAAATTCATTTTTTTCGCTGCATTCTTAATCTATGCAATACGTTTCAAGTCTTCGCTTCTTAGTCCTCAATCGTGCACACGTCCACAGAAATGCATATTTCTTAATCATTTTTCCTACAGAAATTTACATTATGCTGATTCATTTTCCTCTATCCGCTGTACCATTAATATATACTGTACATTCAAAGCACAGGTGACGCACAGACATGTTCACCACTTCGAACAAATGTAGCTAGAGAACGGTAAGAGGAAGCAACTTGTAATTGTGGTCAAATATGTAAGTAACCAAAATCTATAATACATAAAAGTGCTAAATCTCAACCATCTAGTTGTGAAACAATTCATGCCAATGAATTTGTAAGAGAGACACTTTTCTATTTGAATCCTAGACCTGTTTTTTAGTGAAGATAAAGGACATATATCTCGAATAATGAGCAAGTTTTTGACAAAATATCAAGTCACACACAGGCATCAGTTTTCATAAAGATATTTTGTTTCATATTTAGAAATACTAGCTTCAGTTGTCTCTCGTAATGGTAAAAAGAAAACTAGATAGATCAACGGAGAATATACGAAAACATACATGAGTAAGATCGTTTGTTTTGCGTCGGAATATTTGAGTTCTAAGCGGTTCGCATGTATTGTTTATGTAGAAATTTGTGTGCTACATAGATGAATAGTATATTGATCTGAAAATCAATTTCCCGTTTAAAATAGTCACCTATTTCACCGATTAATTCTTTGTCTAATCTTCGTATAATAGCAAAGCAAATCGTCTCGGAGCAGCCAATTGCATGATACATTAGTCATAAAATATCCTAAAAATGGCATCAAGATTAGATGAGTATGCCAGGGACTCAGTAACGATATAAAAGACACTAGACAAAACACTTCATTGACATCGGCACCCACGAACAACATTTCTTAGTTTTCAGCAAGTTCAAATAGATAGCTTCAAATAGGGGTGGTACGTTTACGTTAATTTAATATTAATGTTATCGGTTAACGCTTTTAGTTAATTAACGCCGTTAATTAGCTCGTATTAAATTAAATGGTCCACCCCTAGCTCCAAATAACCTAATAAACAGAATTAATTCTCTGAATATCTTTGTTTTTTATCTTTGGCAGCACATCTGTTTATAATCTGTATATACATATATATTTTTTAATGCTGTATTTTTTTCATAGTCAAGGTTGGTTAGCTATGTCGAACAAAACCTAGAAAATGATCTTTCATTTTATCTTATTTTTCACGACAAGTGAATATTCAAGTTGCCAATAAGAACAATCAAGTCGAGATTCAATATCAAAATTCTTTCTTTCTTTCCTTTCAATAATATCTTCCTTCAACACAACGATCTATATCAATTAGATTATGGCAAACACATAGAGAATTATTTCTACGTGATTGAAGACAATGCGAATTATTTGGAGTTAATCAAGAATGAATAAATAATCTAGAATATATGCAGAGTATCTATGTATGTTTCTATCTAGATTAAATAGTTCGCTTTATTAGATTGCATCAAAATTGATGTCGTTTTATAGACATAATTTTCCCAGAAGAATTCTAATAAACTTTTGATTTGCACTCCTTTACAGTTGACGGCACGAAGATTATATCGTTAGATCAAAAAAAAATTAAAATACTAACAGTAAGAAATTATACGAACAAAAATTGGATAAACGTTATCATGTTTATTCAAATAAACGGCGACTTTTAAATAAATATTTGCGTCGACAGTAATTATAATTCATATATTTAAGAGTACAAAAGCAATGAATAAATTAGTTCTCTCTGTGAAAATCATTCACAGAACAAAAACAAACCTTGAAATAGTTGGAATCGAATCAATAACTGCAAAAATGAATGACACCATTTATTGTTTTGTGTTTCACAGATATGCTCTTTTTCAAAGCAAGCGAAATAATTATTCATAGTTTCTTCATAAAGTACGCTTCATAACACACACACACCCACACACAGAAGAAGAAAAAAAGAAATAGTTCATCTTAAGTAAAAACTAAAGTTTACTGGTAGAGCATTAATAATAATAGATACACTGATAAGGAAAATCTAGCTAAAGCTTAATGATGCCAATCGACAAGGAAAACTAATATTTCCTTGCCTACGTGCTTCCGGTAAAAAGAATAACTCAATCAATATTCTAGTCACTGTTTATTTAGGTAATTCGAAGTATAAATCACAGACTTTTCCCCCTGCAATTATGATGGAAACATGCATCAACTACTGGAATTTTTCTTTGAAAAACAATATTTTGACTTTTGAATATTGTTGTTTTTCTTTCTTACTTATCAATGATAAATGAAAGAAAACATAGATTTTGATTGAAAAGAAAAGAATTTTGATTATGATATTTTCTAGGCAACTAACGAATTCATCAGAATGCAAAATAGATGCTAATCGAAATGCATGAACGATTATAATCGTATTCATTTCATGGCTTGTCAAATAGTACATAAGAGTGCTTAGATTTCAGTTGATATTTCCATCTGTTCTTTATCATTAATTCAACAATTTATACCAAATATCTCATCTCCATACAAATAAATAAATACGAGATATATTTATTTGAATCCGGGAACAAAAATGATAGAAAGATAATAACTTCGAATAAGTCTTTAGGATATTACTGATCGTTATTTGCACAGAAATTAGAGATATCAGACAGTAGAAAGATAAATGCATTTTTACTCGCCTCATTTCCGCTATCAGCAGCAGCAGAAGTATTAGAAGAATTGATCTGCATGTAACGCGTACTGTTGGTTTGTTTATTCCAGTCTTTTTGCTTTTCTTTTCATCAAACATAGATATATCTCAGCCGATCAATGACACATGTGTGTCTTTCTCTACGCATGTATGATAATTCTATGCTCAGTTGATAATATTTCTCGATTGACATTTACTTTGCTTAGATGCCTTTTCTTCCTTCATACATTGACACCCATATCCAACGATGCATTGATTTATTGATATTCCTGCGTTAACTTTTGTTGTTCTTAATATTGCTAAGGATAATAAAGATTAATTATTTTGATGAAGCAATAAAACCTTTGTTTTACTGAACAGTTGTCGTTTCTTTTTGTTTTTGTCGCTTCGGCAAATAGTTTAATATCGCAATCTCTTCATTGCTATAGAAAATACTGAAAGGCAGACTAGTGAAATGTCAAATTTTCTCTCTTTTCCTCTTTTTTTCGATACATAGAGCCTGCGGGTGTTCTATGTCCACAATCTAATGAAGACAGATGAGAATCGTCAAAAAAGAGACAGAAATATACGAAAAAACTGTTTTTTCTCTGGTTTCTACTGTTCATGGCATTAGTGTTATACATACGTATATGTATACATTATACATATTCTCTCTCTCTCTCAGTCTAACTTAATTAATTCATATCGATTATTATGCTCGACACTTCTTCAAGGTAATTTTCGGAAAAGAAAAAACCATTAATTAGTTCGTTTTTTTTTCTTCTTTTTCTATCGTACTTCATCTATGCACATTAAAAAAAATGCTCTCCTCATTATTATGAATGTTCAATGAATGGGTCGTTCCCAATCATGTATTTATTGTGTCACGGAATTATTTCTTTAACATTAACTTAAATGCATCAGTTAGACGCAACTATATCCTACTTCACAATGTTTTCTCATGCCTACATTCTTCTCTCGTCTTATCTTTCTTGTTCTACTACTGAATAGTTGTGTTTGTATGTGCACACTATCACACCAGTCAGACGTATGCCGATGATGATGATGACAACCGACTTCTCTCAATAGTTGCATTACATTTCTGACAAATTTAGGATATTCTTCAAAAAAAGAAACAGATGTGTGAAGTATATATCTCGTATCGCGTGCGTGTTTTTTTTTCTTCTTCAAACAAGATTAAATGCATTTGTCATCTTTTTCCAGGCGAATTTTCTTTTGTGTTAACTAATATTTTTATTGTTGTGATAGAAGGATTGATTGCTTGTCTATCATGCTGAGTATTGATCGTTGAAATAGAGAAACGAATCAAGAGCGACGAAGGAAAAAATAAGAAAGCTAGTAAAGATTGTTTAGTTTATTGATCGAGTGTTCATTCATTGATGATGCCTTTCTCGCGTCTTCTTCTTCTTCTTTTCTATCTCTCTAATTAATAACGAGATGCAGATTCGATCTGCTTGTCTATGCGACTGATTGACTTTAGCTTATCAGTTGTGCAACAGCAAACAAGCTACATTGTCCAGCAGAACATAAAACAAAAAGGGCATAAGTTTCTTTACTGAAACAGACAACGCCTAAATGTATATAGGATTGGTAAGGTCACAATATAGATAATAGCTTATGTAATTTAATTTTCATTTCATCATATAACTAAATGCTTATCTAGCCACTTCTCTATACGACTGTTATTTAAGTTTCATGAAGACGGCAACTGTCGATATTTACTTGCCTATTCTTTTTACTATCACACTCATCAATTGGCTCTAGAACGGAGAAAAAAATCGAGTAGACAAAGATTTAATGCGCCTTTGAATATTGTGATCAATGAACGAGAAAATTGTAAACTATGATTAACAATTCTATTGTTTGCCATTGAATATTTTTTATTTTGTAATGTTCTTCAACGGCATCGGCTGTCTCGCGTTTAAATTTCTATTCGTTATCAAAGTCATATTAAAATTCATCATCCTTATTAACAACGTTCTCTTGAGAAGAGCCATGAGAATAATGTAAATTTCCGTTTTTCCTCTACGGTTTTTCTTTCTTTATCTTTTCTATGCCGAGCAACCATGATTACCTATATAACGCCATAGTCAGGCAAACATACTAAATTATATACTATAAAAGATGTCATGGAATAGAAAATACAAATGGCGATAATAATGACTAATAGCAGGTTTGATCACCAATCTCTCTCTCTCTCGCTACATATATATTTATTTCTTTTTATGCACATCCTGAAATAATTGTTTCATTCTCTTTCCAACACCTCATATTCATTCCTAGAGCTATATTACGAGATGAATAAAACATCTTATGAAGGATTTACGTTTCTTATCATTATTGGATGATGAGATGAGATCGATCAAAAAGATAGAACCGAACATATAGTCTAAGCATGCACACGATATCAGCAGCACTTGCTTTCCAGTTAGTGCCACTCTCAATGAAAGAAGCAAGAGAAAGAAGGAGCAGTGCCGAAACGAGCTGCGAAAGAGAGGACGAGAGACATAGACAGAGACAGGCAAAGAGGGAGAACAGTGTCGAAACACAAAGAATTTCATTAGAGTGACGACGCTCGAGATGCGCGCTGCTTGTGTTTATGTGTAGGGTTGACAGCGAGCGACGGCAAAGCTGTTGCGTTGTTCGCATCTTTCCAATGCGCGCAGTTGCCTTTGCACGCATTGATGACAATGAGACGACAAGGACTGAAAATAAATCAAATGGAACCATTATTTGTATCTTGTTTCATTCATGTTATGTCTCTATTTGTGTGCAAAGACAATCTTGACTAATAATTCTTCGTTATCTTTAGATACTTCTATTTAATATTATTTCAAATGAATTTTTTTTTGGTTTATTACATTTATGTTCTTCTCTTCTATTTGAGATTCAAGAAATTTAAATATTAAGTTTTTGTCATCTTGTTGTTCCATCATAATTAAAGTATACATGTGTACGTATACGTTCCTATTGTGTTGTTCGTGTCGGCTTGGCTGTTAATATATATATATATATATTCCTATTGTTATTACTGCTGTTTAACACCGTCCAAATGTCGCGCGCTATCCAACGTCTTATGAAAGATTATAAAAAGGCGGAGAAGTTAATAGGTCGTTCAGCAAATGAATCGTTTGTTGATTTTACCAATACAGCTTCATTTACAACTCAAGCCATGGCTCAAATACGACGTGAGCCCGAATTGACACAAGATGAGAAAAAATTTCTTGTTGCTGCTGAACGTAAGTTAAACTATAATTGATTACTAAACAGACAATTCTTCTATACTATACTTGAGCATCTTCAGCGAATTCTCAAGTGTGTCTCTTCCGCATGCATTGTTAAAATAAAATCTAGGCACAGAAAAAATCTTATTCAATTTTTTTTCTTAACCAATACATCTATTTATAAATCTTTCATATACTGCAAAATGTTTCCAGAGGAAACCAATATTATCAAAAAGAAAAAGACATCAAGATGATTTAATTAAGAAAAGAAACTGTCTATTAGTAGAATTCTAGTTTATCGCTCAAACAAAATTGAATTATTGTATTTGGTATCAGCTGTTATAACAACTGATGGGAAAACAATCGAGCATATGTTGTTTTTCGTGCATTGAATATTTAGAGAAGATAAATAAATTAATAAAAATATCGATGTTTTTATAGGCGGTGATATAGCTACAACTCGTCGATATCTTGCTGCATCATCGGGAACATCGTCAGTTTTACTTGATGTTGACATGCCAATTTCAGAAATTAATATTAATTGTCTTGATCCATTGGGCCGAACTGCACTGTCCATAGGTTTTTATTGAAATTCTTTTTTGTTGAAAACTTTAAAAATAGATACAAATTTATTTAGCCATTGAATATGAAAATATTGAAATGATTGAGCTATTACTTAGCTATAATGTGGATACAGGTGAAGCTTTATTACATGCGATCGATGAAGAATTCGTTGAGGGTAAAATAACTTTTCATTTACAATCGATTAGATAATCTATGTGTAATCGTAATATTGACAGCTGTCGAATTACTTCTTCAACATGACGATCTAAAGCAACAACGGTACAAGAGCAGCATTAATCTAGATAACAATCGAGTAAGTCAGTTGTGCTTGTCTATTACGAATATAAGATGTAATATATATATATATATATATATATATATTACGGTTCATAATGTGAAAGAGTTTTTCTCCTTCAAATATCAATTTATTAAAAACTTAAATCCGCATAATTAATTTCATTACTAAATAACGTTTTCTGTTTTTTCTGTGTGCTGAAAAAATATCAAAAAACGTTCAATCCAATTAAATGACTAAATTAAATTGTTTATGTTCTATGCCGTAGAGAATCGAAAAAATAATTTCTGTTTCACGTCCGTTGTGATGGATAAATTCTATATAGTTCAATTGAGAAATTATTTTACATGTAGTTTTGCAAATTTCTCTGGCATTGATGAAAGAAAAGTAAACCTCAGGAAACAAGAAACAGAATCTTTCGAGACTAAAATAATGTTGATGAGATTGACAATCATATAGAAATATTCAAGACTATTTCTAATTAACTAGAAGATAAATTTTATTTTATTTTCTTGTTTTCAATGAAGTATTCAAATAATATTAACATAATCGATAAATCAAATCCATTGTTCACATTGGCTCAAGATGCATTAGAAAAAGAAAAAAATGACCAACAACAATATGATGTTACTCAAAAGGTAAGCTAGAGTTTTCGATTAGGGTTATGAAATCATTCTTTTTATACTGCGTATGTAAATAAAATGCATGATGTATATCTATATATCTATATATCTATATGTATGTGGGGAGTCTAGCTGAAATTGGCTTGGTCTCATTTTCGTCCGGCAAAGTCAAATCTATCGCCGACACATGTTGCTAGCACTGCTGCTGCTGCTGCTGCTGCTGTTGTTGATGATGATGATGATGATGAGGTGGGTAAAGTTATTGAATATGAAATGAAAATAAACTCTAAAACTACAATCAACAATTACAACCCGCCTTCTCTATCTAAACCTTGTAAATGCCAATTCTTCTTTATCCGATTGATATCAGTTGTATTCTGCTTGGATAGAAAAAAAGACATCAATCGAATTTATATAAATATCTTTAATCATACAATATCCTGTGCTTATTGTATTTATTTTAAAATTTTAATTATATCGTAGTTTTTTTAATAGCACTACAAGCATGCAAATACCCTTTATTGTTAGGCACGAATACATATTTTTTTTTCTTATTTTTACATTTGCTATGAATAGTTTTATACTGCAAAAAAAGACACCAAGCGTATCTTAACATTTCATAACCTCCCGTTTTTCGTTGTTTTTTCCTTTTCCTACGTCTTCTTTGTTTTTAGAATCCGAAATCTAAATGGTCATTTCTCCTACAGGCAGTACGAAAAAAGGAGCAGCAGCAATCGGTAGGCGCTATGTCCGCATAAAAAGCGAGAATTAAACTTTTCGTCTTCTTCTTCTTCTTTTCACTCATGGCGTGCATGAATAGAATAACTAAAAAGCCAACGTTTTTTCTTTATGATCGTTGTTACTGCCAAAACATTTAGAAGCACCTGCTCACTTTTTGTAACTTTTTGTTCGCACATCTATTCACATAGTCATTGTTCAAAGCATATTATTTTTTTTATATATGATTTGTTGTTCGCTTTTTATTTATAATCACACAATACATTGAATGATGATTGCATTCTTTCGCTGAGATGTGTCAAAAACATTTATTAGAAAATAATTTATTTTCATTCAAACATCAATACGAGACAGTGAGAGCCAAAAAAGAAGAAGTATCTTGTTATATGTGTTTCTACAAAGTGTCTCGACGCGTGTGAGCGAATGAATATGTTCGTATGTGAATGTCTTTGAGTAATTAGATTATTTTTTTAAATTTATTTTAATTGAGCACGACAACAATCATCATTTCCGTATTAATTATTACCCACCCATAGTATACCTTAGTAAAAAATATTATGAATGGCATCTAAACCAATAGTAATTAGTAGTTTCACTAGATCTATACGGCTTATAGTCAAGCGAAAAACAAAATCTAGTTGCACAATATATGTATATGTGTGTGTGTATTTTAACAATCTTGAAAATAGTTATAATTGTGTGCGTAGTTAAATTAAAACTATTTTATATATTTATCTATATTTAGGTGCATGAACAACTTAATTTGAGCACATCTAGATCATATACGCCTGACATTACCCCGGTTGTGTTAGCTGCACATCGAGACAATTATGAAATACTTAAAATACTACTTGAAAGAGGTAAGAAAGCATTTCTTCGCTTCTGATTATTCAATAAACAGCAAGAGATCTTGTTATGAATATAAACAAGAAATGTTCTACGCGATTAATTTTTGCGGATAATATCATATTTTCAGGTCATATATCATCTAGTCATAATCAGGCATTTTCTTAGTCAAAACTCGAACTCTATCTTTATTGCTAATATCATCTGTAATTAATCATCCGTTGACATATCGTCGATCAGAAATATATATGTATATATTTATATGATAAAAATATGGCAGACGATGATAAACAGATTCCATTAGATAAACTTTGCATAAAACCTTATAGTCACACAAACGTACCCAGACAGCTTCGTTGCATTTTTAGTCTATAGAATAACAAATCAATTACTGAAAGAAAACAAAAACAGTCTTCAATCGTAGTTGTCACACTCAATCTTTCATAGGTGTTCTCTCCAGAACTTCTGCTCGTGTGTTATATGTTATTCAATAAAAACTCGTTGAGAACACGATGACATGTTATATTTCTTTTGTACTCCGGGAAATTCGACTTTAGAAATCTTGTCATAGCTTTTCTCTCTTTGTGTTACTCAAACTATATTTTCAATTGTTCATAATAGTTTAGATAGCGGAAATCCCTTTTCTTGGCTCTATTTATCTTTTCGTTCAAATTGAGGTTATAAAGTGTAATCAAATCTATTCGCGTTAACTTATGAGTATTATAGGGATTCTATTCAGGAGGACAAATAAAATCATAGCAATGGTTTCCTCTTGGTTTTAAATAAAATGCGCATATTTTGACAACTGAAAATTATCTTTGCTCTGTTTTTTTTATTTCCGCAGGAGAAAAAGTTACTGAACCTCATGATGTTCGCTGTGATTGTGCAAACTGTATTGTATATAATAAAGAAGACAGTTTGAGACATTCACGATCACGTATAAATGCGTATAAAGCTTTATCGTCGCCATGTTACATATCGTTGTCAAGTCGGGATCCAATAATGACCGCATTTGATTTAAATCGTGAATTAAAACGTTTGTCACGCATTGAAAATGAATTCAAACAAGAATATGAACAGTTAGCTCAACAATGTCAAGAATACAGTGCTGCTCTATTAGCTGAAACGCGTTCATCAAAAGAATTAGAAATAATATTAAATTATGACTCAGAAAATCCACCTGTACTATCGGAAACAAATGAAAAAATGCATTTATCAAGATTGAAATTAGCTATACGTTATAAACAAAAAAAAGTAAGCTGAAAAGCTAAAACGCAAGTAGAATAAATGTTTTAATTGAATTTTTGATTAAGTTTGTTTCCCATGCACATTGTCAACAGTTACTTGCTTCTCTGTGGTATGAAGGTCTACCTGGATTTCGACGACGCCATTCAGTTATCAAAATGTTAATAACCACATTAGTTGGTCTACTTTTCCCAGTATTATCTGTTGCTTATTTAATGCTGCCACGTAGTAGCATTGGCCGTATTATGCGGCAACCGTTTATTAAATTTATTTGCCATTCTATTTCGTATGTTTTTTTTCTCAGTATGTATTTCAATCGCAAATCATATTTCAGTTAATGAATTGAATTTTCCTTTGCCTATTAGTTTTACTTTTTGTTGTTTCATTACGTATCGATTTTGGTAAATTACTGTCAGGTATTGAAGCAGAAACAAATGAAAAACGTGGTCCACCTCCAAATCCAGTTGAAATAGCTGTAAGATATTTACAGAATCTTATTCATTTTTTTCCCCGTATATATATATATAGGTTATTATTATTATTCTTATTACTATTCTTATTATTATTATTTAAGATTATGTTCTATGTAGCTGGATTCATTTGGGCAGAAATCAAACAACTCTATCAGGAAGGATTACATCAATATATGGTACAGAAAGAAGAAAAAAAATTGGATTTTTTTTATAAACTATTGTTTAATTTCTAGGCGGATACGTGGAACTTATTAGACTGGGTGACAAATTGTCTTTATTTAGCTACTATTGTTCTACGAGTAATGGCTTATATCAGAGTAAGTCTATTCGCGGGATGAAAACAAACAGTAATTTTCATTAGAGAATAAAATATGAGTTATAAACATTTCGGAAAAAAAACTATTTAATATGAATAATGGAAAACGTGCAAGTCACTATGATAGAAATTTTAAGAAGATTATTATTTTTTAATAGGATTTTCTTTTATGGCCTGTTTTTAATCTTAATCTTCAAATGAAGAAAAAAATCATATAAGCTATGAGAATTAAAGAAACAAAAAGTAAACTCATTTCCAGTCAAGGTCATCCTATGTTTTCTATGCAATATGATCTACGTCGGAAGAAAATAGGCAGTAGTCGTATTCTGAGTGAGAAAAATACCAACAAGTACATGACCTATGTCTCGAAGACTTCATAGTTGCTGTTATTTCATCTTCACTACGTTATTTTCATTTGCTTTGATGAATCTGTACGATTTAAGTTTAAAAACAAAACAAAATCATGTTCTAATTAGGTCAATCAAGAAGAACGTGACCTTCAAGTTGAATCATTAGTCGTCCGTAGTTCTCCTAACTCAACCGGTGTACCTACGCATAATCACCACAATCTATCATCTGAAGCAGTTAATATCTCAACTGGCCATTATGTTCGACGACGCGATTGGAACGCATGGGATCCAACATTAATCTCTGAAGGAATATTTGCTGCAGCGAATATTTTTAGTTCATTAAAACTTGTGTATATATTCACCATCAATCCACATCTAGGACCATTACAAATATCGTTAGGACGTATGGTACACGATATATTGAAATTCAGCGTTTTAATATTGCTCGTTGCATTTGCATTCGCCTGTGGTCTCAATCAGTTATTTTGGTATTATGCACGAATGAAAAAGAGTGAATGTGAAAATGATACCAGTTTCGATGAATATTGTTCTAAGGATATTCATAAACATTTTTCAAAGTAATGCAATCTTTTTGTTTACATAGGATTTATTTATTTATTTATTTTCGATAGTCTTTTCGAATCTTTGCAAACACTTTTTTGGGGTACGTTTGGTTTGATTGATTTGCAAACTTTTCAAATCTACAAAAAACATACATTTACCATGTTCATTGGTTTAACGATGTATGGAGTTTACTCGTCTATAATGATTATTGTTTTACTTAATATGCTTATTGCTATGATGAGTAATTCATATCAATATATAGCTGTATGTAGTTTTAGTTTTTTTAATCGATTTCTTGCTCTGATGCATAGCTTTTGTTTTTAGAATTCAACTGAAACGGAATGGAAATTTGCACGGTAAGAATAGAAATGGAGCTTTTTTGTTTTTATGTAGAATTTCTTTTTCTTAGTGCTAAACTTTGGATAAGTTATTTTGAAGATGGTTGTACTTTACCGCCGCCATTTAACATTGTGCCCAGTCCAAAGTCGATAAGTTACATATTTATATTTATCTATAGCAGAGTATTTGGTTGTTCGAAAACACATTTAAGAAACCGATGGCAAAGCATAAAGGTACAGTTGATAGCGTGTGATATCATCGTTTGCATGATTTTTTTCTAAAATTTCAATGGTTTCGTGACACGATCTATTTGAATGATTCAGTGACACTAAAACGGATTCGTGCGTGAATTGTGACTTTTGTTTTTAATGAACTCGGCACCAAAAGTTGGATGACCTCATTCAAGCTTTAGTCTCGAATTGAAATGCAGTACAAATAAAGTTGTTAATGATGCAAATTTATTCTAAAAACACCCGATTCTCTATCATCTCCCATGATTTTGTTGTTACACTTCTATCTTAAAATATTGCGTCCTAAAAAACACGGATATTTTTATAATCAATTGGTCTCATTTTTATGAAAATTATAATCTTTAATTTCAATGCACAGAAATGCTTTTTTGTTTTTACAAATCCCAGCTTCCTATATTTCTAGTCGTGATAATTCTTGAAAGTTCCGATAATCTCATTTATGACTATGAAAATTTTCTTTTTCTGATCAATAGAAAATACTCAGCAAAATCAATGAACGCGAAATAAAATATCAAACAGTCATACGTGAATTAGTTAAACGATATATAATGAAACGTCAACAAAAAGATCAAACTGAAGGTGTAACCGAAGATGATCTAAATGAAATAAAACAAGACATATCAGCATTTCGGTAGGAAAATTTTGTTGAGAATTTTTCTACTACTCTAAAACTATTTATTCATCATAATTTTAGTTTTGAATTATTGGAAATTTTAAGTACGAACGGTTTTAAAGTGCAATCCTTGAAGAAAAATCCAGGTCTGTACAAACATATTAATTCATTTTAGAAATTTCTATAACAAGAAAACTAAATATCTTAGACACAGGAAAATTCGAACCAGCAGAGGAAGCAATAAGATGTGAGAATATTTGCTGTGCATCATTTTTTGCATGCGATTTTAAAAATGAATTTTTTCATTGCAAACATCTAAAAATTGATTTGCTCCTATTCTAGCCGCACGTGTTGGCCGAAAACGTGGTAAAATGAATTTAGAGAAAACCATTAATAAAAATATGTTTGATATGTCAACATCAATTCGTGATAAAAATCCGTTGGAAACACCCGATTTAATTAAAACCGAACAGTCAGATTCATTGACAACACCATTGTCGTCATCATCTTTATTAACAAATCCAAAACAGAAATTAACAGCTCAATTTAAACGTGCTATAACGATGATTAAACAACGAAGTGAACCAACACGTGAATCGTCTCCACCACAATTACAAACGTCAATATCATTAACTGAAAAACCGAATAATTCATTCGATACAAATTTACTAGCAAGCCTAATTGAAGAAACAACTACCGATAGTCAACATCATTCGTCAACAGAACTTCTATCATCGAAATCATTGTCATTTGTGACTAGGAAATCGTCAATGATGCATTCGTCATCAAATCAAGATACAGATTCAACTAATACAATGGCAGGTACTATTGTTGGATTTGATACAACAGCACGAATCAAAAGCCAAAATCCATCATCATATTTGATTAAATCAAATTTAACAAAGATTCAAACATCTCCAGTTCCAACAGTAAATCAACCGGCGCACTCATCAGTACAATTATCATCATCATCTTCAGCAACCACGAGTCCAACGCCAGCATCATCAATATCTACGACAGGTGAACTAACTATTTATGAAACTATTTTGTAATAATCCTCTATTTTGTTTCTCCTGATTGCCTTCATATACACATCTATTTCTCTATTCTTATTCGTGTCTTCATTGTTTTTATACGTATTATTTCCCAATGTTATCCGATATTATGTAAGTGTTATGGTAGACACCTGGAAAAGTTTTCTAAGTAGCGACAAGCAAAATAAAACGGCGATACAGATATTACAGTACACTTGCACGTATTAATGTGACTAATAATCGAGACCGAATAGCATTTAGCTTCTAATCACACTAATATGAATATCCACAGTAGAAAGTCATGACCTTTTTATTATGGTGAATTACTGAAATAAAACAAAAGCTTCCTTATAATCGTAGATCATTGCCATCGTTTAAGTGTCACAAAGCTATTTCGAACCGGAACCATACAAATTGCATGAAATTTCAACTTGATATCACAATACTACTTCACATATTTTTCATGCGATATGAATGTTTCCGTACGAAGAAGCGATTTTAAAAACTGGGGTCATATCAGATTCAAATACGATGAAGTTTTGAAATTTCCCTTGAGAATTATCTTTCAGTCAATCGAAAGGTCAACATAAGTCTCTGTCAATCATTATTTATTGCACATGAGATTTTCAAGATATTAAGAAAGTCCAATGCGATTATTCCCCCGAAGCAATACGCGATATCTGATTAGATCTCATTGAGAGAGAGAGAGAGAGAGAGAAATAAGTCAACGCTTTGTTTTTTCAGTAGCATCAATAAGTGAAGCAATGTCCTATCAGATTTGATTATTTTCTAATTTCAAAATTGAAACGATCGTCTGAAGTTTCTTCTGATCAGAATTAATGATTGTCACCAATGTTGATTGTTGTCAATTTTACTTTGTTTCAAATCAGATTGTTTGCTGAATATTCAGAAATGTCAATGGGCTTATGATTTCTGTAGCTTTGCTTAAGAGAAAAAAAGCAAAGTTTTGTTAAGCAATTCCTTGACATTTGATGTCAGCAGCAGTTTCTTTTCTAAACACAAATAGTTTATATGCTAAACTCAATCGATTGGGAAATGTCAACACGACAATTTCCTAGCCGATTAATTAACCAGAACATAAATATCACTTAATCCTGTTGATGATAGGAACCATAAGATTGAATTATTATTTTTTTTTATATTTTTTAGGATATTTCCGGTCGTTAAATGGAAGTCGTGCACCAATGGCTTCTCCAGATCCACTTTCCTTAACTTCCGACGAAAGTTGTCACACTCCTGATATGGAAATCTTGTGATTTCAGTCCGATGGTGAGATGATAATTTTTTCGTTTTACTTTTGTGATATAGCCTCTTTTGTTTGTTTTCTAAAAAATAATGAACTATTGTTTTATGCAAACATAACATATGATGCCTTGCGTTTTCTCTATACACATTTTGTGGGTGTGTGTTTGTGTGCTGTGCCTCATCTTTTTTCTTCTTATTATTGTGAGTTGTTCATTATCAGATAATGTATTCAATATTATTAGTATAGATTTCATATACATCTCATGTTCGTTCGTTTACTAATTGTATTGTATTTGTTTTTTTTTTTAAATTGACAAAATGAATTATTTTCACGATATGGTTATATCAGATTGAATGAATATGTTTTAACCAATTTATTGTGACGATGTACAATTTTTATGCATAAACGATATTTTTCATGACGACGCTGTTTATATATTTGATGGTAAAAATCATCGACAAAACAACAGAAATTTTAAAATGAACAAATCAATATCGAAATAGAGATTTATCTTCCAAGAAACGAACAGGCTGTCATAGTTTGTTTTATTCTGGATAAATGATTTTGTGGTAGATGTCTAGAAACAAGAGATGAAAAATGATGTAATCGAAGAATACCATAGAAGTTTATATTCTCTTAAACAGATAATCGTTCTATCATCTTTATATAACGCTTTTAGTAATGAGCACTCATCGATGGCCAACGATAAACAAGACTATTCCCTCCAGATGTGATCGCATTTTTGTAATTCTATAAATCATCTCAAGAGCAATTCATTCGAATTCGATACTCAAGTTTCAGACTTAGTTAATCTTTTGTTTTACCCAAGAGATAAGCGTTTATTACAGAATGTTTATCTTTATTTATTTATTTATTGATCAAAAAAACCTAAATTCTGATGACACTATGCATAATTTTGTTTGAAATCTACTAAACTGTATACAAATCTTCTGTTTTTTTTTGTTGTATCTTGAGTCTATCACATACATCTGCCTTTCGTCAATTAGCTATTTTTGATCTTAACAAAACACTCCACACAATTAATTGCCTACTGATGGAACCTAGTTTTTAAACAAGAGTAATATATCACTGAAATACCATATTTGAAATCAGTACAAACAAATTTTCTCATCGAACTTTCACCGCTGAATCTCGTGAAGAATTTGTTTTAAGCATATCACCAAAACGATTTAGAATTTGATGAGAAAATAAATTCGCAGAAAACCTACATCTTTTTTGCGGACTTACAATGTGCTCTGCGTTAAAATTCCAATGAGTATTGTTCTACTGGAAAACTGGTCATCAACAGTAGTAAAATAATTGTATAGGAAATTGAATTAAGATAATAATTATACAACAAATGCAGTGCACAATGGAATATTAGTATACGGTTAAGTAGATACCAAGCATTAGTTTATGTGCATTGTTCTCTTACAAGAATGTAGGTCGAACAAAAGCCCGTCAGAATAGCTTTGAATCACCCTTTAGCGATACTTCTTCAGATTACTTATTAGTATCAATAACTGACTACGCATTTATTCTATTGTGAATCGCACATTTGCTTGAATAAAATAAAAAGACGGCCGAGTACTCGTGATTTCTTATCGTCGGAGTCGACTTGATGATAAGGACTCTTGAAAAAAGGGACCTTAGCACGCTAGTATTTATCAAAGTGAAATCTTCAAGTTCTTGTTTCTGACATTTTTATTCTTCAGATGATAACTAACCTGCCGATGAATTTTCTTCGTCGACGTCATTGAGATATCGACGCCAAAATTTTAACTTTTCCATTGTATTATGATATTGTTTTGTCTATTAAAAAAAAAATGGAATTTTGTATGAAAAAATAAAATACGAAAGTCTATATTTCAATCTTACTCGATCTGTATATCGACTAGGATCATTTAACGGATGATATTTAACTGGACGTTCTACATCTAAACGAGGATAGAAATGAGAATTTCAAATCTAGTCAAAAATTTATACATACCAACTGAATCTTTGAACATTGTATATGCATTACAAGTTGATACTATAATAAGAATCAGAATAGCAATATGAATGAGAAAAACGCTGCGATTTTCAGCCATCTGTGTCTTGTACAAGAATAGTAATGAAAGTGTTACTCTCTCGATTTATTGCATTTTTAACACAACTCTATTTTCTATTCTATTAAACATAATTGACATCTGATAATTGTTACTTGATTATTCTCATTGTTGTTTATTCGGTCATGCAAATATTCTCTGCATTAGAAACTCAAAGGAAATTAAATGTAAGACATGTATTTCATAACGTAAATTGTTTGATTCTTTTTTGACAGCTCTACGCATGTTAATACATAATTTATGCGTTAGAAACAATAAGAATGTTTTAGTTTAAGACTTAACAGAGATATTTTTCAAGGCATTCGAAAGTGATAAATTATTTTTAAACTAGCTACCAAGCTCGTAAATCATAGAGTTTAAATAATCTGTCAAGTTACTATTGTCATGTTATAAATAATCGAGTTAATGGCCGTCGCGTCAAACTACTCGTGTTTATCGGATGCCTGCTGAAAGACGACAGCGTTGAAAATTTCTAAACGTTTATTGAGTCAATACAATTTATGTTTTCAAAGTTATAAAACACATAGGAACTTATGTTCTTAGTTAGTGTCGATGAAAATAAACTGTTTATTACATTAGGAATCGTCAATTGAAAAGCTGGTTAGGCTTCTAAAAATGATTATGAAGTTTCATAAAAATAACCCACCGAAATTGCAGAAAAAATCTTACACAGCGCATATACATAGGACTTTGCTCTTCGACAATATCTTGTTTTTCAGAGCCGTGTTTTCGAGTGTAAGGGTTTGCTGCTCTTTTTAGAGCGGACATTTTGAATATGGATACCTGAGAATATCGAACACAATCAAACATTTTTATAGCAAAAATCAGTACCGTAGAGCATTTTACTTTTACATCATTTCAATTCGAAATGTAATTTTAAGAGAATCAAACCACTTCCCAGGTCGAGCATTACGGCTACCAGAAATGGTCGTATACGGCCGCAACTTGACGTTTTGGTATGCACCGTATTACGGCCGTAATTAATCGTGTCGTAAACGGTTACTAACGACCGTAATACGGTGCATACCAAACGGCCATAAATTATGGTCAAACGGCCGCGTACGACACAAGTTGATCGACCTGGGTTTATTAAAAGGTTCATTCAACAAGCAGTAGCTCAATGTGAAAAATCGATTTAAGATTTATCGATGTTCTCACCGATGGCTTATCATTATGTTTCTGCTTGAATTGTGTGTTCCATCATATGTGTCACATGATGTCTTTACATTCAAAGTAAAGGATGAGATTAAAAATATGAATAGTTCAATTAATTGAGACTTTACTCTTAGATCTTGTGCGATATTCATTTTTCAATGTCAAAAACACACGCATCATTTAATACAGGATAGATCATAAATAACATCGCGGTATACTAATGAGTTGATTGTTATTTTCGCTTCTCGTAGCAGTTCATCGAATGCTATCTTTCTCATAAGCATACCTGGTGGAAGATTATCTGTTACTACATGTTTAGAATTAATTCTTTCTACAAATCAAAGGAAAACTATTTTTAAATTTTAAAAGTAAATTATAGTTTTGTATGCAATATAGATACAGCCATATATTTTATTGATGGACCATGCATTTAAACATTGAAATGAACTGCGTAATTAAGAAAATCTTGATCCATTGATATCACGCCTCAATGACAACAATACTTATCTATCGTATCTACGTGTTGAGAAAAAGATTTAAATTTTGCTTCTACCACGAATCAATAAATCAGTCCATTTGATTGAATTAATGCTGATACGCTCCTGATGTTATTTATTATTTAGTTCTAGTTTATTTTCAGCCGAATAATAAATTTTTCAACGGTGACGAAATATTCAAGAAGGTAAATAGAAACTTAAGAATGTGATGAACAGTAAGCTATTCAGCTCTATTAGAAAAAATTCGAAGGAAGAAATCTCAGTCACGTATTTTACGCATAACCCACTGATTGCGTAAAAAGTCATATTTAAGTAAGCGGGGTCGGATTTTGCCCTTGTTCGCACCATATGGTGAAGGAGATTGCGGAGACGTAGGATCAGATTGGCGACGACGTTCATAATTCTCTTGCATGTTGTTATCCTTTCCGTTAATCTATAGAAAAAAATGAATTTACTTTAATTGAAATCTTTAGAGTGATGCTTACGCTTTGTAAATAAATCCTTTCCGAGGGCTCCAATTCATTTTTTATAAAGTCTATAAAAAAAAAGTATTAAATTAAAAAATCAAAATATTCTTGTTTAATCGCACCCGTTGATTCATCAAAATTTGTTAATGCCAATGAAAAATGTAGTGCTAACATTAACAAAAAGGCTATGCTAACGAACGATTGATGATCCATTTTATTTCAAGTAAATGATGCCAATTAACCTTAAATGAAAGAAAGAAAAAAATGAAACCATGCATTTTATAGGTTCTTTGAAGTCATGACTTAACGCATCGTCAACACCTTAGGTTGAATAAACCTCCGTGTTTTTCTACAAGAAGCAACAAAGAGTGAAGTTGCTTTTACTAATAGGTTTGTGTCGATCGTTAGAAAAATATACTCTTTTATTTGTGCAAGAGTCTATCTTCAGAAGAAAATTAGAGTTTTCAATGTGTCACTTTGGAAAAGCATTCTTTAATGTTTTCTCTTCGTTCTTTTTTATGAAAGATAAAAATCTCAATTCAAACAAAACTAATTGATTTCAGAATTAAATCAATCTCCTTTTAACAATATAGCAGGAATGTTTTAGATGCTAGTTCAGTATGATATTTGATATTAAATTTCTTGAAATGCATATAGGCAACGGTAGGGTCCCAATTTCCGCAAATTACGGTTTCCTAAATCGAATACACATTTGTGGAAAACGAGGCGATATAAATTTTCTGGTCACCAATTGAGGATTGTGGATAATCTAAAGTAGAAAATACAGTGTCTGAAATCCTACTTTGAACATTAATTTAATTACTACCAGACTATATTAACAAGCGAGAACTGTGACGAAAAACATCTACTATAGAATGATTGTGGTAACCAGAATATGTTATCTTCTTGTATTACGAGCGGATATTTAAAAAATCGTTTTGCGAACTGCACCATTTATATGTCATATTCATTTTGAACTATGCCTTGCAGGTTTGATTTATGTCTTCGTAGTCAAAAGGTTTGTCAATTGAACGGAGTTGTACAGTCTAATAATGGAGGGAACATACCGAAGATTGCACTTGCATTTTGCTAGTGAGTACACTGAAAGAAATGGTATCAAACGAATTCTTTGAGGTTTCGTTGGATTTCATTGTTTACTACCAGATACTGCATCAGTCCTTCAAACCTTTTTTGGGTTTAGTAGCTAAAGGGGTTCCGTATAAAATCTTCTTTGATTTTTCGTAGGAGACCTCTTAGAGGTATCTGTGCCAAAAGGTTTCATACAATCCTTTTTTCTGTACATTTATGCGGCCGGCAGATGTTGACTAATCAGAAAATTGTCCAGTCTCAATTCTTTCATCCATTAATCTATTTATCATTCACTTAAGATTCAATCCATACAGTTCATCAATTCATATGTATTTTTACTATCTTTCAATGTGTAGCGTAATCTTACTCTAAAATTCATCACAGTCAACGACTTATGTGAAGCTGGATACTGTACATTTCTCATTTTGAAAATTTTATTTTTCTCATGTACAGCAATGTTGAACTACAGAACAAACATTCTGGTTACCACAATCATTCTATAGTATATGTTTTTCGTCACAGTTTTCGCTTGTTAATATAGTCTGATAGTAATTAAATTAATGTCCAAAGTACGATTTCACACACTGTATCTTCTATTTTAGATTATCCACAATCCGCAATTGGTGACCAGAATATTTATATCGTTTCGTTTTCCACAAATGTGGATTCGATTTAAGAAACCGCAATTTGCGGAAAATGGTACCCATTCATAGATAGCACACTCTGACAGTTTTATTCGAGTTTCATTGAACTTTTTACTGCAGAATATTTACTATATATGTGTTACAGTTGACATGAGAATTTAGTTGAGATTGGAATAATAGATTTAATTAAAGATAGAGAAAATAGACACACAAGAGAGCGAAGAAAAGAAAAGAAGAAAACAATTTCGAACATCAAAATGCAAATAAAATTATATGAACGGTATGGAAATATTTTTCTATGAGTTAGGTCTAGGAAACTATTTTCTAATTGATCATAATTTAGATTTCTTTTTTAAATAGGTGACCAAAACAAAAAATATTTTATTTCTTATTTTTCATTTATCTCAGCGCGCTCTCATCTCGTTTGTATGAGCCATACAGTAATTAATGTACCGTGCTGAACTGATACTTTAATATTAAAAGAAAAGAAAATATTTCGTTGATTATGACAATAATGTTACATCATTAAATAAATACTTATTTATCCGCGTTTTACACTTTAAAAATTTAGTAGAATCTATTAATATCGAATTTTTTTTGTGATCATTTCTTTGTTAATTTAAGTTTTTATAATTGATACTCGTCACTATGAAACAGACAATGATTATACATAAATTACGAAGTTTCTTTTACATTAGCTTATTTGTTTTTAACGAAGAACGATTGTAGATAATAACACATCAAATTGACTACTCGTATAAGAAACTTCTTTATTAATTTCATGAAAAACTTTAAAAAAAAAATTTACTTTCCTTCCATATCATTCGATATAAAAACTCGTTCCATTCCCACCCCACCTGTTCGAGACCCGTACTTCGAAATAACGATAGAGAAACGCTCTTTCTTTCTTGTCTTCGAATATAGAACGAAAGAAAAAAATCATGCCACATATATATATGAGCGTATTTAGTACAAACGCAAAAAGAGAACTTCTATGAATTGTAAATTGCATTAGAAAATATCATACGTATCATTGCGTGAAAGTCGAAGTCTATTTTTTTTAGCCTGAATACTTCACGTTAAGTAAAAATATGTAAAAACGCTAGCTTCAAGACATGCCGTGCTCCAACAATGCATGATTTTTATTTAGTGCGTCATCTCTGACGAAAACTTAGAATGATTTCTACTATATTCTCTGACAAACTCATTGTTCTTTTAGTCCTGCATCCGGAGAGTCTTGCGGGCTCTTCTTTCCAGCTACTTATCGTGTTTTTTCTTCTTTTGCTTGAAAACATTATAAAAACTGCAATAACTGCCAAGGTGAATTTCTTTATTCAATGTTTGCCTTAATTGTTGCACAAAATAGACCTAGTTTTTTTTTTGTAATTACATGGTCAATTGTTGGCAGTTGTATGACATGCCAAAATTGTCATTTTTATTTTACATAAAATGTAAAGAACACAAATTTATTGCACGTCGTCTTTCTTGTTGTTGGCATTATTAAAAAAACGCTCAGATAGATTTCATCGCAAAACAAAAACTATAGAGTATAAGAAGTAGAACTTATTCACTATGTTGTATGACAATAATAATTACTGATGGCGGCCATTAAAATTGCACTCTAGATTACGCAGCACTTCCTTTCATGACACCGCTATTGTTGATTTAAAAATGGAAAATAGGATTGAAATAATTTTTCATAGGATGCCATAGTAAAGGCTTTTATAATCGTATTGGTATTGATAGACTGTTTCTAGCATAAAACTTTTGGTAATAGGAATAACCAAGTTAAGACATTTTTGATTGAGCCATTTTCTACATGCATTTTAAATTTTACGCTTCTCTGCCGCTGTTTTATTATCCAAAAGGTAATTCTTTACGATCTTTGACATTTTTTAAACACTATTGATATTTTTCTGAATAATACGGAAAATAATATCGTATAGAATGATTTTATTTATTATAGATTTTTGTTAAGGAATTCCTGCTTTTTTTATACATGTGGTATTGCAGTCGTATTGCATTAATAGTTTTATTTTCTGTTTAATTGCCTGTCGAATAGCTGTTTTACGCATGACTGGCAACGCCTATAAATCCCGCTATCTAAAAAATTAGCTTTCTTTTTTAGAAAAAAAGGAATATTTCGACAGCAGATATTAATTAAACTTAAACCAGTTGAACTTTTCGTATTAATTCGAATTCGTATGTTCGTTTTAATTTTATTGGTAGACCATTTTGAAATGAACAAGAAAACATAAGATTTGAAAGAAGCGAGAGACAATGTGAGATACACCAGAAAAATGGTGAACTCTAATATCATAATAAATTTGCCACAGAAAGTGATTCCATAGATTAACAATATTGATCTAACCGAAACATTTGTTGAGTCTTATTCTACAGATTGGTTTCGAGTTTGTTGAAAATGAAGGTTTCATCTAAGATAAATATAGTGAGTTTTCACTTATCAGAAGGCCAGGATGTGGTTGCGGTGTGACTCTATCGCTCATGTTATATCAGTACCCAGTTCTTTGGCGAAGTTAACAAAGATTTTGATAAAAATAAGTTCTTCACTACTATGAAAACTGTTTAGAAAAAATAAGCATCAGTTCATCTTTTCTTTTTCATTTTATTAAAAATCATTTCCCATAAAACAAAAGACTTTAAAAGCTGATTTCTTAAGATCGAGGATTTAATGTTGTTTGATATAATGTTCTTTCTGAATGTTCAATAAATGAAAAAGTCATTTGAGTACTGTTGACTTCGATCAAACCAAAACCACCAAGAAGTATTGCACCACCCCAAAAGTACTTGAGTGAACCAGCAGGCACATCGTCGGCATGATCATGATTATTTTGTACAATATCACCAGCTCCGACTACAAAATAATCCATATGTATTCCATCGACATCATCTGCTAAATGCTTTAAAACAAGAAAATGTTTTATATTGATATAGCGACAATATAGTGAATCGCTTTACTTGAAGATTATGATCATGACCACAGAGATATGCTGTGACACGATATTGATGAAGTAATGGACGAAGACGATCAACAAGACATTTAGTTGGACCATGTTCAGCTACTGAATATACTGGAAAATGACCGCTGACTATCAAATATGGAGCACTAAAAATAGTTAATAAGTACTATATGAATTAACTAATTCAATCTGTTTGCGATTGTTAACATACGTTGACTGACGAAATTGTTCTTCGACCCATTGCCAATATGCCTCAGCTAGATAACTATTATCAGGACCTTTCAATGGAGTATGTTCCCAATCCGATGAATTTCCTCCTCCGCATAGTATAACCGTGTCGAGCATAACAAAATCTACTAGTTTCTTTTGTTTATCACTTTGCCATAGACTGAATGTATAGAAATAATCCGGAAAGTTCCTATCGAAATAGAAGTAGATTTTACGAAAAAGACCAAAGCAATCAACGATAATTTACCATCGTTTTGAGATTTTGCTATATCCAATTTGTGCTGAAACATTACCTAAATGATCATGATTTCCTGCTAAAACATACCACGGTGTTTGTAACGATGATGCTGTAAATACCCGTTCAAATGTATGCTAAAGATGAAATTAAAAACCCAAAACAAGAATTAAATGAGATTTGCATAACGGTCTAACTTCAAATCTTGGATCGTTCACCGATTCAACACCACTAAAATAGAAATTGTCACCTAATGCTAATTGAAAACTTGTATTTAATTTTGTACCCAGACGGCCCATGGCATTAGCTACGGCAACTTCCGATGGCGTTGTGTAAGGTACAAATGGTAATCCACCCCAGTCACCAATAATAAAGAATCGCGTGTTTCCATCATTGGTATTACTAGCCAACACATCGTGACGTCCTATAAGATAAGAAATACATGTAGAATTCACAATATGAAATCTTTCCTGAGGAAATATCTACCAAAATTAGTTGGATTTGCTAACGATACTTGATAGAATACGAAAAGATGAACAACATAGACAAGCAACATGTTGGTAGAGATGATACCAGCTCACTGAAGGGTCAAAAGCAATATGAGAAAAAATGAAATAAATATTTACACATATATAAACGCATATCGCGCAAGTAATTGCACGTAAGCAGATATGAGAAACGAGGTTTAGCAGCAAAGAATCACATGTGTCGATGATAAGAAAAACAAAGCACGGAATTCAAAAGTGATGTTTTTTTAAAACTTTGCTCCGTTTATTTCTATTCGTAGAACAATCGTTCGAGAAGTTTCTTGTGTTTGGATTGATATTTAAGTCCTTATGAGAATTTAATCACAGCGTTAAAATCATTGCTGGGATTAATTTAGATTCATAGAAAATTGTATCAAAAGACGGTCATAATAAATATGCATTTGAAATAATTATCTCGCTTAGCATGCAGCAAAACTCAAGCAACAATTTTGTGGTATCTTTTTTTTGAACTAGTTCAATATAGAAAAGCAATGCAATATAATATTTTCTTTACATTGATTTTTCCTTGATCTCCACATTAGCAATTCTTATTATATTCAAACAAGAAAAAAAAATATGTGGGTGCATTCATACAAGATTGATTGTTGTCAAGAATATGCTACTTGCTGGTCTATCATTAACTACTGGAGGTTTCGTTTTTGTACAATTTTTGTTTTGTTCATCATTATAGGTTAATTATGATTTGAGTAGGCGGAGATTTCGATTAGTTCAACTACTATGAATAAAGATGAAAAAACAACGATCGACATAAATAGTCCTCAAAGATATTTACGATGGCATCTTCTTCATAATGAGTTTCATAGTCATGCGCATATTGTAGTTAGTCTGCTTTCAAGACAACATAGATTTCTATCAGAAACATCGCATTGATGAATGTTAGTCAGCTGCTACGTGTACATTTTTCGCGACGATATCCTATCATCGATGTACATGAATATACATATACTCTCTCTCTCTCTCTTCTATTACTCATAATTATGAGCGAAAGATAGAGACGCGCTCATCGATCTCTCTTTGTGTCACATATACATTTTTAAATGGGAGGACCTTGTCATTGAAATGAACCCGTTTTAATGATTGATTCATACATGCACATTTGTATACGCATGTCTAGTTCAAATCTAAGAATATTGAAAAATCTGTGAACGGATTACGAAGTAGGTCTTTCTTTGAACGCGCGTCAAAGTAGAATAACAATAACAACAAAATAGAATTGAAACAAACTGTCGTTATTATTCTGGCAAGTGCGTCTATCTATCACAATGTATGTAACACTAATAATCATCCATCTGTCTGTCATTCTCGTTTCCTTATTTCTTTTCTTTTCTTTTGTACGCCAACTATATGTGTTAGCATCGGTAACGCCTACCTTCGGGCATGTGTCTATATGGCTCATTTCTATTAACATGAAGCCCTTGTTGCTAGCTTTCTTTTTGCTTTTACACATGATCTAATTATCATTTTTATGCCAAGAAAATGAATGACAAAGGACGAAAGGAAATCTTTTGAATTAGCTTCAAGAAACAAATTCGTTATTCAATTGCATTAGGTTTATTGATTCATTCATGGATGATGACAGTTGTATTTGTTCGTTCACTTATCGATTAAATATCATCTAATGGACTTGTGGTTTCTTTCTTTCTTTCTTTCTTTCTTTCTCTCTCTCTCTATCTGTGTCTCATTCTTCGTTTCGAAAGTGATTTTATTAAATGTACATATGCATCTATAGATATATACTCATAATATACCTGTACGATGGTATGTCACACTCCTCTGCCTTTCTTCTTCTTCTTTTTTGTATGCTATCGATTAATTCAATGATTGATCGAATATATAGATAAATAAATATCAACGTCATCGAGCAACTAAATGTAACCAACATGAGAAGCATCTCTAGGCATCTTTTTTTGTTGCGGCACAATAAAATACTTTTTTTTACCTAGTCTATGATATCGGAAATATTTTCTCTGATAATCATCATGTATTTAAGAAATGTTATTACATATCGTTCAATATCGATCTATTCATTTAGAAGAAAAAAAATAAATAAAAGCTAAAATGCTTAGTAGGTGGTATAGAAGATGACAAAACTAAGCGCATATTTATAGCGAAAACTCGAACTGTTACATCATTCATCAGTTTTTATTTCTTCAAACATGTTAAACAAAAATGCCGCTCAACAATTTCGACTTGATTAACAATTATGTATTATTAAGAGACCCCCAACGTTTAATTTTTCTCTACTTATCCATACAGTTATCTTTTTCTTTTCTAGTAAAATATTTAATTAAGTTTGTTTGCACGTAAATATCGACATCAACTGAATAAAAATAACCTCATAATGTTATCGATATTTTTTTCTTCGTCTTTCTTTTGCATTCTGCGCTTTTTCCAATCAGATAACGTTCTTCTCTCTTATCATTGGACAAAATCAACTATTTAATCAATCAACCAATCCCATTGCAAATAACTTCAGAACAAACAAAAAATGGGAAGAAAATTGATGTCTCTTCTTTTCTCTGATTTCCTTTCGCATGAGTGAATTTATCTTATTAGTCGTTACATTAACATAGAACAAGAAACTAGAACATACATACAGACGAACACATAGATTGCCTTTGCGCATCGAATCATACTCAAGAAAAAGAATAGTAAGTCATGGAAAAAGCAAAAAAAGAAACCTATGCTACTTCCTCATACATACATACATACACGTAAATAATGTTGTTGTTATCTACAACACCGGTCGACGTGTGCATCTTGTAGTTTCAACAAAAGATCCTATCAAAAACGAGAGATATTAACTATTTCAATAAATCTATTTCTATTATCATAACATTCTTTATTTAATTAGATCAATCAATGGATACATTTGCAGTATCACCAAATCATCGCAATGCTTGGTCGAATTATCAAGCCGATTGCTATTCGAGCAGTGTAGACTATTATCGATCATATGGAGCAGCACGTAAATATAATTTAGTTAAAAAGAAGAAGAAAGCAAAAAATAAATATTTTGCTTGATTTTTCAGCTCTTACATCCCTGCCGTGGCCTGATTCAAGTAAATATTCTGTTGGTAACTGGCCATCACAAGCATCATCGACATTTTCTTATCCATCTTCACATTCGCAACCTCCCAATGCTCATACGAATTTTTCTTCAGCAACAAATCCTTCATCGACAGCATCCTTTGGTCAAATATATTATCCTCCGACACCACCGAAAGATCTTTCACATGATCCATTACCTGATTTATCAAATAAACAACAACAACAGCAACAACAACAGCAACAGCAACTACAACAACATCATCATCATCATCATAATATTTCACCAACAACAAATTCACCTGCCTATCATTCACAACACAATTGGGGACACGTACTTAAAGATTCATCATTACTTTGGCCAACAATGAAATCATCCGATTCTCAGGGGAAAAATTTTTCATCGAAAAAAAAACCTAGTCAAGGTTTGTAGAGAAAATTTGTTTGATTTTTGTTTTTGTTTTTTTGATATAAAAATCAATTGAATTTTTTTTTACTGATTTTCAGCAGAAGGTCGCGAATGTGTTAATTGTGGAGCTAAAGCAACACCATTATGGCGACGAGATGGCAATGGAAATTATCTATGTAATGCGTGTGGACTTTATCATAAAATGAATGGACACAATCGACCATTGATTAAACCAAAACGACGTTTAGTGAGTAGATAAATTAGAAATTCAAATTTGATCTATTTTCTTATTCTATAGTCAACAGTTAAGAAAACAGGCGTTTATTGTTCCAATTGTAATACGAGTACAACAACATTATGGCGTCGAAATGGACGCGGTGAAAGTGTTTGCAATGCTTGTGGATTATATTACAAGCTTCATAAGGTAAGAAAAAAGAGAAAAAATCATGAACAACAAAGATCAATTTAGAGATTTTCATTTCCAGTGTTGATTATTGGAAAAAGGAAAAAAATATATCTAATTAGTGTAAAATCTTTTTTCACACTTTAACATATAGAATTATGTGTGAAAAGAATTTTTTGTTTTATTCGATATAGCTAAGAATATATTCTCACTTAATCATCTAACTATATTTTGTTTATTTCACAGATAAATCGTCCGCCAACATTAAAAAAAGAAAGTATTCAAACACGCAATCGAAAACCGAATACAAAACGTAATGAATCATATAGTAGTAAAGATAAAGATGCATTTTCTTATGGACTCTTAATGAAGAATGAAGCAGCATTTAATGGCTATCACGCACAGGCAGCTGCAGCAGCTATGGCAGTTAACAGTGGATCATCATCACCATCATCATCAGCTGCTTATGCAGCTGCAGCAGCGTTTCATCCGTTATTTTCAACATCAATGTTATCATCCATAGGTACAACAGGTACATCAACATCTTCGTCATCAACGTCATCATCACCGATTAAATCATCCTATATGGGACATCAACAACATGTTGGAGTTTATGCTCCGTACTTTTGAAATATCTACTTAGGTCTACATATATACATATAGGAAGAAAATCTGTCTTATTTTTTTATTTCATATTCTCATTCTCTGTATTTCTTTCGCATGTTGTATATTGTGTTTGTTCATTTCTATCAGAAAACCTTGTTTTTTTTTCTTTTTCGTCTTCATTCTCTAATACAGCAGTAATACATTTTCTGCCTCAAGCATTTTCATCGTTTCTTAAAAGATAAATATCACAAATATGCAAGCTGTTCTAGTCTCTCTCGATATATATATATAACCGTTAAGCGATGATCACTACTAACATGGATATCTATTTATCTATCTATCTATACATTTCTTGTCGCCCGAGGACACACCATCTTATTCGTCTTCGTGTACGATGTTTGTTCATTGAATCATCTAGGTAAACATCACCATATGAACACCGTTATGGTTGAGTTCATTAGCGGTATAGATATATATATATATATATGTAGTCGAAAAACGAGGAAGAGACACGACATGGGCGGGCAAGTCAATTGAAGATGATGAAGAAAAAAAAAGAGAAATTCAATTTTCAATTAGTTCGAAAAGTAAACATAAAGATAATATTAATTCAATGAAACTGATAAAATCAAAAAGGTAGCTTGACAATATTGTTAGGTAGGAGTAGAGTCAGATTCAATCTGATGAATCTCTTCGACGAAGAAACTTTTTGAACCGTAACGACATAACACTCATGGTTAAAGATACTAACTGATGATCTAGCGATGAGCTCATATTTACAGGTAAGTGTAACATTAGTATCGAATAATCATTCTCTTTCTTCTTCAGACATAATCATGTTGTCGGCATCATTTCTAGTAATTTTGATTTTTATTGCTCTTACCCATCATCATTAATAACTTGCTGTGTTCTCGACACGAATGTGCTAACGATAGAAAATCTCAACTCGATAATCAATGATATTGTTTGATGACATCCTCCTCTTTGTTTTTTCTTCTTCTTGCTCTTCTATCATTATCGATTATTCTCAGCATCAACACTATGTTGGCATGTTCGTGTTAGTTACGCATCAATCGCTTTTGAATCCGCAAGTTCGTCTTTCCATGTCGGCAGGATGCGGTTATCACTATCGATTGTTTCTTTTGTGTAGACGAAGAAGAAGACTGAACGGCAACACCACACGACACCATCTGTAAAGTTAACTTTTTTTGACCGGAAGGCAATTGAACACGTCACCATTAAGCTAGGTATGATCCACAATAATGTACAAACACGAACCATCGAGTGACAAAATCGTATTTATCTCTTTTTGTTTTTCTACTTGTTTGATCTTCGTTTTTTTGACACTTAAACACAACAGAATCGATGTGCTTCAATGAATATAAACTATTGAACGACAAACCAATAGTTCATTAGAGTTGACACATCTATTGTCTTATATATAGTGGATGGGAAAGAGATAAAGTATGAATGCTTCTTAACAAAACGTGTTAAAATTAAGTACATATTTAACAATTCGGTTTTCATAGATATATTTTTTTTTCTTCTATACACATTTCGATCGAAGCACAAGTGAATGATCCAAAAGAAAATGAAATTCTCATGCTGAGCAATTAGCAAGACTCCAACTCGTTTATTTTTTGCCTCAATATAAACATGCCCCGTTATATGTTCAATTCATTAGTATCCAACGGCGCAATATATTTTTATCGTTGATCTATATTCAACCAGTAGATAATAGTCATGTAATTCCATCGAGAGTTAATATGTAAAAAGGAATAGACTGGAATCAAAACATCACGCAGATAGACAAGCGAATACGTCACATGATGAACAACAGATTGATCCCTCAAGTACTATTGATTGTTCTACGGATCTCGTTTTCTTTTCTCTTTTTTTTTGTTGATGATCGATCATATTCTCATTTGAACAATAAACGAAGTAATTAGCGATGAGACAAGTCGAGTGTAAGACAAGATAAGGAGTCAAGAAGAAGACTTAGTAATAGTCTGGTCGACGAAACATGAAGGAATGTGCCAATGTTAATAATAGAAGCGGTATTACTTTGATCAATGAGTGTACCAAAAAGAAATAGACAAGAAAAAAAGGTCTATTAGGAAGAAGCAATAAGGAAACAAATCAATGTTTAGCTTTTGGAGTTAATAGACAAGTTTGATAAGCATCAAAGAACTAAACGCTACTGATTGCGAACGATGCCTCTTGGGTTATCAATAGATATCAATGATTTCTAAGTTTTGACTTTGATTTTAGCGAGAGAAAAAGAAGAGTTAATTCATTAGCTTAGGTCTTGTCAACAAAATTTTTGTGATGCATAATTTTCTCCTATTTGAATCAAGACAATAATAAGTGCCTTATCAATATTGCAAACAAAGCAGTCGAAAAAGTACTAGAATCTTTCATGATGCTTCAGTATTAGTTTATTATTACTTTTTCGTTTTTTATTATAAATCAGCACAAAATGTTAATTTGCCTTTGAATCGTCATTCTTTTCTTGCCACTTTTTTAGGTCACTAATGAAAAATTCAATGTGCCGCTAATATCTAAAAAGAAAAGTTGCAACAAAATTATATCAGATTTCTTTTATCTGAGAGTAACACTACTTTGATTAAAAATGAAAGTTTTGTCATAGCCTATCGATTGACATACATTCACAAGGAAATAACAAGCAATAGGAATTCTAGAACATGTGATTAAAAAGCATGCGTAGATGAAAGCTGCTTACTTTGTCTGAGAGCGGTGTATTCTTTTTCTCAAGTGGATTTTGACACAAGAAAGGAAACCTTGCGATAAAAACATGATATTTTCTAGATGCGGTTTCAAATTTTATTGATTGATTTCAGGCCAGAAACGAGTTCGCATAGATTGTATATAACATAAAATTCAGGTCGGTTTACGAAAGATGATTTTTCTTATTCACTGTAAATAACTCAGCGAAGCAGACGCTATTCTTTGCTTTAAATTAAAATTGATATTGCAACAACTGCTCAACTTGTATGCTACGCTAGGGTTCCAGCAAGCGTTTATAAACTCTTGGATAAGTCGATACCGATTTTTGTCATACACTCTCGAATATCTCAATTGATTTAAATTAATGCATATATTGTAACGCAATAAAGTAGACATTTTTCTTTACTTCAGAGCCTTTTATTATTTCCTATTAGAAATCGACTGGAATAATTAAATTTTTTCGACAATTTTTTCCCATTGAAAAACACCTTGCAGTTTTCCGTCGACAATTTAATCTGTAGTTCTCTTAGAATGTATGAAAATCGACAGCATATTTCCTTGTGTACTAATTAATTTATCTTTCGACTCAGCTGACAGATTGAAAAGCACTTCAGAAAAACGACGTTTTCTGCTAATTGACTACCAAAATAATTACAAAGTTAAATTTTCTCAAGAATAAAAAGATTTTGTAAAAACCTACATGGATATTTTTATAGTTCGTTGCTCATGATTCGAATGGAAGATATACCCTTTCATTTTATATACTGTTGTATAATCGAACAGGCAAGTTTACAAAAATTCTGCTAAAAAACGATTGTTATCAACTTCCAGATAACACTGAGGCTATTTCTAACCTACGTAAATAATATTTTTACTTATCCAAGTTTTCATATTGAACTAAATGAAAAGATAGCACAGAATATAATTATTTATCTTAACTTTTTGCTATGATTTCGTTTTTTACTGGAAGATTCTTCGAGGAGCATAGCTTTCCATACACAAAATTTTGGAAAAGTTTTAGTTTAGTTTTTGTTAGTTGCGCGAGTAAATACAAATAGAGAAATAAAAATGCTCCTAGCGACAAGAAGACCATTCTGAAGAACGGATTTTGTCAAGTTAACTTTTATGAAATTAGAGATCTTGGAAAATTTTCGCATAACTCAACTTCTAAATTTCAGTGCATTTCTGCTAAGAGATTGGAATATTATTTGTTAAGAATTCATGCCGAAGACTCAGATGTAAACGGAGTAGGACGATATCTCGTGCACGTATGTTTCCCGTAAAAGAGCTAATGAAGACTATCAAAGATCAGGATGGATTGTTTTAGTTGACTTTTCTCGTAGATACAGAGTCTCATCAGGTTTTTGAATCATTTCTCACAAAAATAGTCGGACTATTTAAGATCGAGTTGGATTCAACGTTGTACGTGTCTCACCGAATTTTCTTTTAGACACCGCCAAAATCCTTATTTTTTTCAACACCATCTATCGCATCTCCGCTATAATATACTCATATACTTGCTTCAACCAATAGGTTCTCATCCATTCGTCCTCCATAATCATCGCTACTATCGCCTCTAATGCCAAATTCTCATCGTCGAACAAATGATGTTTTTCTGATTTATTCAACTAGTGTGTAGAGAGCAGCAGCAGTAATATTACTACCAACAAAACAATAACCAAGTAATATAAGGGCAAAGTATCTCGTCAAGGTAGTTTACTTTATTTTTTCAAATTGAAAAAACATTCGTTTTCTTTAGTACAAGAGTACATAAGAAAAGCAATGTTATTTGTATAGCCAAATATATGAATAGAACGGTTAGTCAATCCTATTTCTGATCCCAATGAACTTTCATCATTTAACATCTACGACGCACCGTCCACAAACCAAATCTTCAAAGTGAGTTCCGTACATTTGCCTATTTTCGAAATACAACTAACTAAAAATTAGCTTCAACGAAGACGCACACTGTGATAACGAAGTCAATTTAATCTTAGAAAAAAATTATACTCAGCATCTTATTGAACAGTCAATATTCAAAGAACAACAACAACAACAACAACCACAACCACAACAGAGGTATTCATTTATTTTCTAAGACCATTTCGTGGCTTATCGTTTTTCTGTCTGTTCAATAAACTTAATGTTTTTGATATAATTTAAATTTATATATTTTTTAAGTATCGTCGTGAATCAAACAGATCAATACTATTTTGTGCCAATTCGAGAGTTAAATACAACAATGACTTTACCTTCTAACAACAACAATAATGCTAATAGTAAGTAGACCAATTCTACTTTCGGCATTCGTGTAATATTTCTCAGAAAATCTTCTTTCGCACAAGGATATGAAATTGTTTTTTTTTTATAATTAAACGTAAATTTGGTCTTTTATTCGTAATGTCTATATTTTCCGAGCTTTCTACAAACTTATGATATCATACGTACTAATTGACAGAGAGAGAGAGAGAGAAATCACATCAAAGGATATATGCTTATGATGTTGATTTGAAGGAGTGCTCGATAATCCTATTTTAAATATTTTTCTCTATAAAGTAATGTTAGAATGTCTATGATTGCTTTGCGTCACATGAAGTGAAGCGTCCATGTAAACAAAATACCTCGTGAATGTAGACAGACATTAATTTCATGATATTGTTTGTGTTTTTTCATTTCTTATGTCGATCAAAAGGTGAAAAAACATTTTGCTGTAATGTCAGTTTATGATAACTGAATACTTTTCAGACAGATCTTTCTTTTTGTGAGAATTTTTGGACAATGACGTATTAGAGAATTTCGAGACTCTTAGGATATAAGGATTTTCATTACTGGAATAAATATTATACAAATAATAATTGTTGTCTTCTCGGAAATGCTACAGTGGAAAAAACAAACATTGACTTTTTTATTATCTCTCTACGTTCTCCATTATAATAAGGTTGTCGAGACTAAAAGTTTTTTAGATACGCCAGACAGTGTTTGAATTCCCTACTTTTCCTTTTCATCATAATTGAACTGTTATAATAGTGAAAACATTCTTCGAAATGAATGCGTTTTTGAACTCGAGCCTTGTTTGATAACAATAGAAAAAGCTCTGACTTATAGAATACTTCAGTTTGCTACTAGAACAAAGTTCGAATGCAATTAAATACCTCTTAGCAAAGAGACAAGACTAACGCTCCAACTTATTTTTTGTCTAATGAGTGAAACCACGGATGAACGCTTATATATTGCTCCAGAATTATATTCAAACCTTTTAGGCCTTTATAGTTGTGTAAAATTTATGTCATAGATGAATTATAGTTGAAAGTGCATTGAGAACACAGAAAACAGTTAAAAACCAAGCAGAAAAAGTTCTAGTCATTTTATTCTATTACAATTCTGAGATTAGACCGTTTAATAAAAAAAACTCGGAGTGCAATATTGCGTGATTCCGTTCATAATGCAACTTAATCAAAATGTCCACAATTTGATAGAGTGTTCATTTGATGAAACTGATTAGATTCATGAATTTTTATTTATGAAACGGCGATTCAGTTTAATTTATGATAAATCTTTATAACGACCAATAGCTATCGCAGTTCCCACTGCCTGTGTACGATTTGATAAAAAGTGAACTCATTTTGTTTTTTAATAAAATATCTAAGTGAAATATTTTATTAAATCCATTATATTGTTCATTTTTTTTTATTTTAAGAAAGAGAATATTTGAGAGAAAATCTAGTAATCTTATTTCCCTACGTTCTTTTAAAGTTCGATCGAAAACGCATAAGATTGATGACCTTTAATCAAATTGAGACACAACCGTTTGATGCAAAAAGTTGAAAGTACTTCAGACCGATATAAATGTATGAAAACCTCAGGAGCAGCAAATGATCTTGAACAAGTCATTAGACGTTATTTGTTTCGGATAAAACGAATCATAAAATAACTCGCTGTCAGGCTGATCTTGTTTTCATCATTTCAGTTAAAAAAGATCACAGTATAAAATCTGCTGCAAGGCAACACCCTAAACGAGGAAAACAGGCAAATGTATTCTTCTTCATTTGACGAAAAACTTTTCTTCGATCGATTAATAAGAAAATGTTTTACTTTTCTATTCTAGTAATTGATAGCTCATCAATTTTATTACCTGATTTGAATAATCCGTCCACGCAAAGTCTATTTGATTATTCATCATCAACACCAACAATGAACTCAATAGATTTACCAACAGTGAATAAATCAAATAATAATTTTAATTTAAGTGATGCTGATCTTGCCGCTCTTTTTGTATCAACTCTGGTTTCAGCAACATCATCAACAACGGCAACTTTAGATAATGAGAATGAACTACCAACGAATAATAACAATGCGTTAGATGATGTTTTCTTACAACAAGTTAATGAACTTGTATGTTCTTCACAACAAAAATCCATGGGACCACCACCGGGCTTCGAAAATTTTCTTTTCGATAATCCATTACCATCGGAAACTTCAAGAACATTATCATCAATTAGTAATGCTGCTATTCAATCACAAGTCTCTTCTTCAGATACAATCAATTTTAGTCAGTTATTACCATCGACAATTGTCGGTAAATAGAAACAACTTAGCATAGTTGCAGCGAAGATATTTTGTGATTATCACATCTGACAATATTTTTCAGACGGATCGAGTGCAAACTTTTCAGCTTCGAGAACAACCAAACAGGCTCAGCTTGTCCTGCTTACTATTATTGCACGCATTTGTTTGCTGTGCCTCATTATGTGACTATTGAATAGAATCAGAACATGATAAAGTATATAGTCTTTGCATAAATTTGCTTGAGTGTAGGAAAAAAAAGAATTCTATTCAATGACGTACGTTGTCGAAACTAAATATGCTTCAGTTCACTGTAGGAGAACAATAATCGTACCAACACGCATTGACTAATTATGTTATTTGATAGATTTATCTGAAAAAGTTTATAAGTAATAATGGATTGAATTCGGAATTTTATCAGAAAATAAAAATAAAGGCTAATTGAAAGAAAAAAATTTTCAAATTTATCTAGATACTCAACAGCAACAACCAATTGGTGGTAATGTTCATTCATCATTTCAATCCGATGAGCAATCAATATTTTTTCCGATGTCTAATCATCATTACTCATCAACATCATCAAGTCAGATTTTTCCCACTAATACACCTTCATCTACAAACACAACAACAACAACAAATTCGGCTAACTCTATTGCCAAACCATATACGCCCAATAGTCTTTCATTAAAAACGAAAAATTTCTCATCAATTGATACAAGTAATATAAAAAGTCCTATATCAACTAAAATAAACGATTCTGATACAATAACAAGACATGACGATACAACACCAAATCATATATTTGCATCGCCAAATTCATTTTTTAATAATGGCCATAAAGGTACAAATAACTTTACTTTCATTGGTTTACAATCTGATCTAGAAGTCAGTTAGTGCGAAAATACCCGAATTTCTTTTCACACGGTCTATCCTTTAGTAGATAGTTTGCTTTTACAAGTAAAACACTTTAGTGAATATTCATTGATAAAACCAATCAATCGCTTGAGCTTTCCGACAAGTCATAACTAATGATTATGTAGTATAATCTTCAACTATCCAAGTGTGCAATCGACATACGAATAAAAAAAAGTATAAGACTTCCGATAGAAAATCAAGGTTACCATAGAAACTGCGAGCAGAATAATTGTAGTAGTATAGCATTTATTAAATCTTCAAACGTCGCATCCGTAACTTTTCAGTAAATTATTACCAGAGTGAACATGTTTCTCGTACACTTAATTTACATGTTAACGCAAATAAAAAAAAGAAACCTTTCATAACCAGAAATCCTTTTCAAGGTTATTCATACTTATAAGTCTTTCTTTTTGAATTATAATCTAAATTTCGATTCGACACGAAAACTTAAGTGAAGTGAATGTAAATACAAAACTACTCGTATTCTATAATGTAAAAGCAACTATCCAATGTAAATTGCATGGCAAATCTTTCTCGTGTTGTTCTTTGGGAAGACGGCCGTATGAAATGTTAGGCAAAATGAAAAGCTTAGAGTTGTATTTTTATGAACTTGAATAACTTAAGCTCGTCTTTCGATCTGTCTTAGTTAATTCTGATGCGGAAATTAGTTTTTACGCTCACAAAGCAACAAAATCCTTCGAACTTGATATAATTGAAAAACCTGTCGTCAGAAAAGAAACTGCCCATCGGCAAGAATTCTTAATAAATTATTCCATTATAGATTTCGCTTCAACAAAATTAACAACAGTCAAGTCGTCATCAAACAATCGTCAATCGTCATCCTCAACTTCATCCTCGACATCATCATCAATCGATGAAGCACTCATTCAATTAAGTCAACAACAAAAGCAGCAATCAAACGTACAAACAGCCAATAAATTATTTTATGATGAGTCTTTATCGATCTTCAATTACTCATCACCACGGAGTACAGCTGCAACACCGCCAACAATAACAGCGCCGGCGACTTCACATATTGCTAAACAACAACGTGCTGTTAATGACAATATTAATTTTCTAGCATCGATGGCTAGTACAGCAACATCAGAATCAACTTGGCAACAAGCAAAACTTCATTCCAATACAAAATCAAAACAAAAAATGCAATCAACAATTCTTGAACAACAGCCCAGCTTGTTGCCACAATCACCATCAAGAAATTCTACTACTAATATGCATGATTTAATGGAAAATTTAAATGAACTTTGTTATCGAGGTTTTGATGAACTTAACGCACTTATACAAGAACAACGATGGGTAAGATTTTATTTCTATACTAGTGAAAGAAAAATTACGATTCTCTTGAATTTTTCAAACCGATCTGGAATTAAATAGAATCGATGAGGTTACTGGAGATTTTGCTTCAGATAAGCTTTAACTGTAATAGAGATGCGTGAAGTATGCTAATCTCTAAATATAAAAGACTGGGAAAAGTATTGCGTATATTGTAGATGAATATCACCGTTCAAGAAAAAGTTTCATTAGGAATTTCGAAGAGTAGGTCAACTTGATCGACAGCAGAATATATTCGATAGATTATTTTACTCCGCTTTCTGTGGATCTTGACAGTTACCTAGGCTAGAGCGATTCTTTTTTCGTCACGATATAGGTCGTAGTCTCGGTGATAAAAGACAAAACAATGAGCCGAATTATATGTTTAGTTTTTTGTTAATGATACAATGAAAGTATGTTGTTTTTCATCTCTTCGAAGTTATTCGGACTGTTTTTTACTCTTATGTTTCGGGAGCGTATCTATCATTTGAATTATTTTTTAACTAGAAGTTATTCAAGCAAGCACATGGGCGTTTGCATGATTTTTGTGTATTTTGTATTTTACAAATACACAAGTAATAGGTAGACCTTAGCAATTTCATTTAACTATTCAAAGAGACGGTAGCTAAGATGCAGGGCGAGTTTTGCCCGACAGCAAACCCCTTTTCTACAAGTGGAACATCTGTTACGTATACTTCTGATTAAATATAAAATTTACCATCGACTGGTATAATTATGTATAGAAAACGTGTACTTTAGAAGAATAAAAAAGATTATATATAATTGATGGCATCTTTGTTTGTTGAGATGAGTATCATGTTTGTTACTACCACTTAAATTCGTAGCGCACGATAATTATAATGAAAGTGCTGGAGTTTCTTTTGGTTTAAAATATTAATTTCATGTCAATGTAGACTCATACTGTCGCCGCCCCTGTTGCTTCCTTGCATGAGATTGTCAAGAAGGTCTGCTAGTAATTAGTACAATCAAAGGAGAAAAGCCGAGACAGAAAAAATAATTCTTAAAATTGGTAGCCTAATTTCTAATGATACATCGAACAAATAGTTTATATTAGTATCATAATCAAAAGTATGTTTTTGTCATTCTTCAGTTAACAATTTTCGGATAGCTAGTGGTTCATTATATAGAGCACAAATTGATTTATTTCGAATACTTTTTCCTTCAGAAAATTTATTTTGGCAACAGTTTGTAAACGTAGATGTTTGGATAATTTTGAAAAGATGAAAAATAGTATACCATCAAATCTGTCATTAAAAATAACTTAAATCGTTCTTGCTTTAGCCAACATTTTTTTAATGTTAATATACTTAAAGGCATCTACAAAAAGTAAGCCACTATTTAAATCAATTATAATCATCCACAGATCTCTAGAAGCTATACAATCCGGTTTCGAGATTCATACAACAGATTTTAGTACTTACATACAGTCGATTAACATAATTGATCTCTGTATTTTTAGGTAGAAAATTATCTTAATGTAAATTCACCGTCACCTGCTTCGCCACTGGTAAATATCAATGGTACCAATTGTTGTTCAGCTCGTATACTTGTCGTACCCGAATATTTTATATTTAAATGTAAAAAGATTGAAATTAGTGTAAGTTATTTATTTTATATGAATTTAGTTAAAATTGCTTATTGTTTGTTTAGGCAAGTGATATTTACGAGTTATTATCAGTTGGAAGACCTGAATTACGTTTGCGAGATTTAATGTTTGTTTTTAAAACATGGAAAGACTCAATAGTTAATGCTGAAGTTGTTCATCAAGAAGAAGAAGCGAAACTACGACTGAGTACTGAACGCCCTCATTCATTTTACATGAATGAAACAGTTTTACAAGCAGGTAAATAATAATAAGAAGAAACATATAATTTAATATTCTGTTTATTTGATGATAACTAATGTTATACTATAAAGTCTTAATTCCTGCTTCGTTGATTAAGGTTTTGTTCATAAGACAGGTCATGCTAGATTCTAACCCTGACGATCGCGTTACTTGATAGGCTTAGTTATAAGATAGAGTAGAATAATTACAGCGAATAACATGATATTTCATTTCATCTAATGAAAAATGATCCAGATTGTAATTAAAAATCTCGCGTTCACATTCTTGTTGAGAATTTTTGAAAAATTCAATCTTCTCATAGAATATTTCCATGATTATATATATATATATATATATCTTTAATTGAATAAATTACGAATTTTCATTAATATCTTTAGCGCTTATAAGATATACCGAACTTAGTCGTGGGTCCATATAATCTATCAATATTTTGAAAAACCTTTCGGCATATACGTTCTATTTAAAAGATAAGCATCAAGCGTCATCTTATTTTTAGATACTTTGATGAGCTGCCATTCTCTATTAACATTGTTTTAATTAGGTATACGAAAAATAAGCTTCGTTGAGACATGGATCTAAGAGTAACCAGCAAGATAAAAAAAAGAAATTTTGTTTCTAGTGCATTAGATTATACAGGATGCACATACTGCTTAGAGAAAGCCGATGGGGAGAAATTGCGAGACTTAAATTAATCGGACAGATTAAGCATGTTGTTTCTAAGAGGCAAAAATGTTTAACTTGATGTCTATTGAAAAATTATCTAACAATGGAAGTGTTTGTATTGTAAGTTGAAAAGACTAGATATTTTTACATCAAAAGAAAGCTCAATTTTTGTGCTTATCGTATGTTTTGCAGTTACTATAATTTTCTAGTTGAATTTATGTTATAAATATCGAGTTCCGGTTACTCGAAAAGCTATTTTGGTCGTTTCCAACAGAGTGAATAATTTTTTCTGGTCTGCTTGCGAGTATTTCTCACTGATTGCTACTTCAAAAATAGACATAATTTTAGGCTCATGTAAATTTGTATGTAAGGTTAACTTTTCTTTTTGTGATTACGCGTCAAGTAAAGTGACAATAGTTTGTCGCGCATCCATGCCATAGACAGCAGCTCATAAAATTTATTTTTAGAATAGTAAACTTGACGAATACAAATTAGTAATTATGTTTTTCTGCAAAAACGGATTTATTACTTTAGGATACTGAATTTCGATCGACTCGTGTGTTGACTAAACTATAGACTTGAGTAAATAAAATTGAATTTTTAAACTCGATAGTTTTAGAAACAGGATTTTAGATTGTTATTTTTACGAGCTTTTCGTAATCTATGAAGATATTGCAGAATAATACTACGTTCTCAATGTAGCCAATACATAGCATAAAACATGGTGGTACGCTAAGATCTAGTGGGGAATCTATGAAGTACAGCTACAGTAGCGAATATTATTAATTTTTTCTTTTTTTCCGTTGGTAGGATAGTCCACTGTTGTTTGTACTACTATCCCGCATAGACTTTCCATGTTCGCGAAGTTGAACATCGGGTTCAGAATAAGAAAAAAAGTTTAATATGTTCTTGAATTTAATCTTAAATCAGTCAATAGATCATGTTGACTATTACAAATTTTTAACTGCTTTTTACTCGTTAGCTATTCTAATAAACTAAAAATAAAAGTTTCGAAAACAAAAGATAAAAAGTTCAAGTATAACCTCCATTGTTGTTTTTTCATTGTTAGTCTTTGATCGTGTGTGTTATGCAATTCGACAGCTAAGTAATATGACACAACAAGTTCGCGCTGCTTTTCAATATGCTACATTAAATGTGTTTCAAATTTCATCTCGACAACAACAACAGCAGCAGCAGCAACAACAAGGCCAACCCTCATCGAATACTTCCTTATCATCAAATATAATTGCTTTTGCTCAATTACAAGCAATGCAACAGCAAAAGTCATCATCAGTTCATCGCGCTGGAGGTTCTTTACGTACAACACCTTAAAATAAGAAGAAGAATAAAATATCAGGAGAAGAGAAAAAAAGAAAGAACCGGTGATGAATTGAGAAGAAAATCACTATAAACAAAAGAAGTCTGTTTTCTATTCTCAATAACATCTTGTTTTTGTATGCACGCATTACTTCTTTCATTTATTTCCGACTTAATGACAAAAAATACACAAGAAAAAAAAATGAAGGTATTTTTGTCTCTTTCCCCTAGTGAAATTATTTTTTATGTTATGTTTTGTCAATTGTATACGTATCAAGTCGAGATGTGCATATTCTCTCTGAAATGTCCTTTGTCTTCTATTAAACGAAAGCTAATGGTTTTTTTCGTTCGTTTTCTAAATTTACTTCATCTTTCTGGCTGTATGTCTGTCGTTTATTATCATCTTTAATGTAATCGACAGTCATGTCGCGCTCTTCTTCTTCCTCTTTCTCTTTTTGTAATAAAAACATAAGAAAATAGTAGATCTTCACATGAAAATATATATGTATGAAAAATTGTGTTCGTTTCATTTAAGATAGCAAGTGCATTGTTTGTGATCACCATCTATTTACATTCGTATGAGTATATTAATAATGATAAGATCAATATATTCATCAGTGAAATATTATCAACATTTACTATGATTTAGTGTTTTATCTGACTTCAATAAAAACAAGTAGGATATTTATAATTTTTATGTAATCAGCTGTCTATTTTAGGACGTAATTGAAAGTGCAATCGTTTTCTTCTTTAGTTTAGACAAAAGTATTATGAGTACGCCCTTCCTGATATTCAAAAAAAGACGTTCGTATGCTTTCCTCTTTCATGCGACTTTTCTTAATCTCGTGAATAGTATCACATAGTGGATTTCTACGCTTAAGAAAAGTTTTCTTTAATCACTTTTATTGTATAATTTTATAGCTAAAACGTACTGCAGATTCGTGACCTCTAAACTAAACATAAAACCGATTACTTGGTCTACGGATTTTTCAGTAGAAAAAAAAATATAATTGAACTAATAAGCTAGCGGCAAGTTTCTTATTAATGAATTTCTTCAGTATATAATTTATTTAAGCACAGATAAACCTAATCATCAGATAGGAAAGGGCGCATCTATATTTGGTGTACATCTTATGAGATATCTCTAATTTATTTCAAATATTCTTGAGAAAAATGTTGAATTATTATTAATACGTCATACGAAGAAGAACAGTTTCATTGTTTATTTATTCACTAGGTAGAAATTTTTTGTATAGAATCTATATTTATTAATGAACCTGAATTTTGCTTTTGCTCTCGCAATTTATGTATAATAAATTACATTCCACATCGAACAAAAGGCACGATCTAGCTGAATAAATTTCTCTGTGTTTCGTTTCAATGTTAAAATCGATAAAAAGAAGTCGTAATAGCGCCTTGCATTTATGATTGTGTAAGACAAAAAAATAACATTTCTCATACGAAAAAAAAAACAACATTAATGAGAATTTCTTTTTTTTCTTCTGTGAAGCCTTTCATTTTAATTCAGTTTAATGACATGCTATTTTTTGCAATTCTTTTGTTTTAGCAGCATTGATATAGATATTTATACTCTTTCTCTTTTCTTCTTTTTCTCATAATGAAATATTTTTTGGTTTGTTCAAGGAATTTTTTTTCTGTTCTGTCCTACTTTTTTATTCTCATTAAAGTACGATAAACTATAAATGATTCATTCAAGAAAGACGAATATCAGACGTTTGTTTTTGTACTGAAGAAACGTATGCGCTATTTCAGGGTACTTTTCATCTTTAATAATAAGAAGAAACACAACAGCCGCTAGTCGTGCTACATACTTTCTTTGAAATGTCATTATTGATTTCCTTACCGAATTCACAATGGAAATTATTTTCAATTAGTACGTAATTTACCACCCTGCATGCAAGACAACAAGCTAAATATAGATTTTTCGTTTTTCTTTATCACGCATGTCCTCTTAGACCTCTGTTGTAAAACGAAGAAAACATTTTTTTTGCCATTTAACCTGTCAGCAGATTACATTCAACTAGATTTTTTCCTGCCTGTTACCCCTTCCTCTTCTTTTCCTTGTATTTAGTCATTGACATTATGTTTGATAAGGACACTTATCAGTCCAACAGAGTACTAGCAACTTTAAAGCAGATGAGAAAAAAATAACTTGCTTGATCATTTGTTTCTTTTATGTTTTTAGATTTGTGGAAAATATCGATCTATCCTCAGTTATATTCAGGATATTAGTAATAATCAAAACAGCCGTTATTATATTCAAATATTAAAATGTCAACTCGATCTCTTGGTCAATGCTTAGTATGTGATGATGAAGCCGTTGGTATTAATTTTGCTGTACCAACTTGTGCGCCATGTAAAGCATTTTTTCGTCGAAATGCTGTAAAACTCGGTGTAAGTTTATTCATCCTATATGCTTAGCCAAAAAAGACATTTTTTCCCTTTTCTATTTAGAGACGTGATTTTATTTGTCAACATGATGGTGACTGCCCGGTAACCTATAAGTCTCGTCGGTTTTGTAATTGTTGTCGTCTAGCAAAATGTTTTCGCATTGGAATGCAAAAATCGTTGATTCGATCCGAAGCCGAACGCGAAGCAAGAAAACAACTTGTTGAACAAAATCGACGAAAACGTTTTCAAACATTACCAAAAAAGAGTCCTGCTTTGGTATGAAGATATTAAACATAAAGTCACCAATAAAGAACAGATTTACCGTAATTACAATAATATCAATAGAAAAGATTTAAGATTTATCTAAATCTAGAGTACTGATGTTTTTTATCAGAAGTAACCAGCAGTGCCCAAGGACTGAGAAATAGGAATTCATAATGCATCGAGGAATTGTCAGTGCTGCTGTGATAATCCCTAGAGGAAACGGGAATCAACTATAGGCTCCCTCGCAGTTCCACCATTCATGAAAGTTGCGATATTGCTGTTTTAAAAATAATTTTTGCATGAAATCATTGATTCTCACAATTTTTCAAGTGAAAATGAATGTAGGGACAAAAATTATCGTGAATATTCCATACTTTTATCTTTAGCGTGCAAGGAACTGTTGGGGAACTCCTAATCCTCAGCCCTTGGACACCCCTCGAACTGTGAGGGAACCTATAGTTGATTCCCATTTTCTCTAGGAATTATCACAGCCGCACTGGCAATTCGTCGACACATTAGGAATTCCTATTTCTCAGTCATTGGACACTGCTATATTTAGCTGCAAGTGTGAATCGTTCAAACCGGAGACAAAAAACTAATTTTGTTTTGCTGCGTCATTTACTTCCCTATTAGTGATATTTCATGAGCAAAAACAAAGCTTTATCTACCTATTAAAATGCGATGAAACATTGCATGTGTGCATTTTTGCTTTCTGTATAGATTCGTCCATCAAACTTATTAATATTGTCACAAAGTCAACCGCAATCTATATCTCCATCGGATCAGACTCTTCTTACAAACATCTGTAGTGCATATGAGCGAACATGTATAGCAGCAAAAGTTGAGCAGTGTCCTTCGTTTCCAAGTTTAAAACATGCATCTGTGCATACGCTACTCAATGATTATACGGACCGTCAAAAAGCTGTAATTAAATATTTTAAACTTATACCAGAATTCGATCAATTGTCTATGTGCGATAAAATATGTCTAATTCGAAATCATTTTTGTATAACACTTAGTATAAATGAAGCAACACTTTCTTCTGATATATCACCAAAACTGATGGATTCAATAACAGTATTGTTCAAGCCGGAAATATCTTCTAATCTTGTTCAATGTATTAAATTATTGCATTCATATAACAGCGATCGTACGCTACTTAAAATTCTTCTTATTATTAAAAGTTTATGCAGCGGAATGAATCGACTTACACATGAAGCAGACATGGATCGAAGTTATGATGATACTCTAGCAATATTTGCTGCGCAAAATATGTATGTTGAACTGTTATGGAGATATATTTTATCACGATTTCCATCGGAATTGTATGCTATTAAATTTTACAATAAACTCATGCGAGATTTAATGTTCGTACAACGTGTTTGTTTTATGACAGAATCCTATATAAATAGTTTAACCAATGAAATACAAAAAATGAACCCATTGATTCAAAGTATGTGGCCAGTACCGAATCCGCCGAGCACTGGAGATATCGATGTTATGAAAATTGACTGACTGTACCGTACAAAACGAAAATGTCTTGGTGAAAACGTTCAAATAAGGAATTGAATATTAAAATTCTATTCGTTTCATTTGCAATGATAAATGAAAGAATCGGAAAATTATATAAAATGCCAGTAAATAAAAATTTGTTTTTTTGTTAATTACTTATATTTTATTTAAAATCGAATCTTTCTTTCGTTGTTGTGGCAGATTTTTAGAAAGTAAGTTCGCTATTGAAAGTTTCTGTAATGTTTTCTCATTTGTGAAATTAACTCTGAGTCTTTTATAGATACGTACTTGTTTTTGACATTGTCGCATTCGATGGTCGAAATAAACGTTTTTTAGAATCGATTGCTCATTGATTTTAGGAAAGAATATTTGATAATTTCAATATCATCGTCTGAACTATTGAATTGTATTTCATTTGCAATAGATACACCAATATGAATATGACTTGTACTCAGAATATGAATCTAAAGGTCAAGCGACCTTCATATGCAACCTAAATCCATAATCGAATTATAAGTTTGATCTCTATTTAAGGTATTGTTGCCGGATTTTTACAGTGATATTTGTTCAGTAAAGCCGTTCCTACACGAAGATGGTTTTTGAGCGATTTCATATAAGAAATGATTACCTGTTTGTCTACGAATGAAAGCTGGATTATTATCCAGAAGATTGAAACTTTGATATCTATTTTTATCGCTTTAAATAAATGTCTACCGTAGGAAATATTTTTTCTCTCGTTTGATAGGCGTATTTTGTTTTATCTGAGGAAATGAAATTTGTTGGCTGTATCAAGCAGCTAGATTTTCGATTGTGATTGTAGTATAGGGAACTGCAAAAAAAGTTCCTGGACATATTTTGATCAAGAACTTTTCGATAAATTTTCATATGTATTATTTTATTCTGAGTAAAAATCTGCAAATCGACTCATTTATTTCGGATTCTCATAACAGAACAGATCTGCTTAACTGTTATTTTCAATTTCAGGAATATCGTGCAGATTTCCTGCACACCGAAGTAACAAATATATTTTGCAGATAATTAATCTAATACCGTCTGAAAGATTCTTGAGCAAACGTAGACCGAACATCTCTCATTTAGAAATTGCGTTTGTCTAATAAGAATCGCGAGCTTTGAGAAAATTTTCTAAGGTCAAAAACGCAAGTGAAGGAAAATTTCAAGTAACACAAAACATTGACTTTTTATTTTCCTATTTCGGATACATTCACACAAAGATATGTCCACGTTATTGATTGCGTAAATCATTACTGATAATTTTACAAATATTCAAAGAACGAGTCATTCGTTAAAAAAACAAACGATGTTTTCCTAGAAGTAGAATTCACGTCTACCAGTGACGAAAAATTGTATCGGATCTAATATTAATTTCATTTTTCTGAATTCAGTGGTAATTGTGATTTCATATGCTTTGAACAAAATGTCTATTTCGAGATTGTATTTATTTTATGACATCATGATACAATCAAAATTCTAACATAGTTGAGCTCCTCTTCGGGCTACACTCATTTTTCTCTGCCGAAAAAATGTCATAATGCAAACAATTGGTTTGAATATTTTTGTTTTATTTTGACAACAAATTTAAAATTTTATCTGCAGTGACACTCGTTAATGCATTTCCATCAATAGCGTGCAGATGAGAACTAGGTATATGATTTCGATAGATAAAATCAAGACGATGACGAAAAGCTTCTTGTGCAGCCAATTGTTTTTCTTCTAATGTCACAGGTATCGATCGTTGAGCAATACGTCGACAACGTTCTTCTTCATCCAGATAGATATAAACAATAGAAGCTGGTTGAACAAGATACTTAGGCCATGAAATGTTTATTGGATCGTTTTCGTTTGCTTTTGCTAACTGATAAGCTATTGTCGATGGCCAATATCGATCAAGAATAGTTATTATATCTGGTTGACTTTTTAATTCCAATGAAACAATTATATTTCCAAGATTATAAAATGCGCGACGAATCGACTCTGGACGTGAATCAAAATAAGGTCGAAATGGAACCAGTTGATTTGGTGGTGTAGATAGTAAACGAGACTTTTGCCCGCGTAAATTTAATTGATGATGCAATTCAATAGCTAACGTCGATTTACCACAACCATCAAGTCCTATAAGACAACGAATATATACGAGAGCTTTTAATTCACTTCATACCTTCTAAATCAATACACTGCGCTATATATTGATCTTCGTGTAATAGGTTATTTTGAGATTCCAACAGCTTGATTAATTGTTGTTCAGTGTTATCTAAGATACTTGAAAATATTTTAATATTAGGAATCAGCAGGTCCTGATTACTACTAATATGAGTGCGAAGTGTCTGTAAAATTTCCATTTTAAAATGCTGCTCTATTTCATACAGGAGATTCTATTCATTAATAATACTGTTGGGTTTTTTCCCAGAACGTTTTCGTTCTGTGATATAAATAAAATTGCTATGACGTCAAAGCCGCGTATTGAGTTAGAACGCCGGCTTGATGAATCATATAGCAGAAAAACATCAGCAGAGTGCAAGTTTTCTTTCTCAGTGGATAAAATGAATAAAAAAAAACGAATATGATTTATAGAATCCGATCGAGCTATTGATCTGCACAAACACTTGGAATAGTATGCAAGAATATTGTTGTTTTTTTAGTATTGAAACAGTCTGTTTTTATGAATAAAGTCTACTTGATTATGTATGGGCGTATTGAGATAAATTCTATTTTCTATTTTGCTTTTAGAACAAAGTATAAAAATAAAATGTAGCGAATCGTCTATTCTTTACGTCACTAATCACATTCTTTTACATTTTATGCTGTTCAGAATAGACCTTCGAGAAAAAACAAAACTAAAATTCGTTTAATCTTTGAGATATTATTGATGCATAAGATAACTTTTGTTGAACCATCATATTTAATTTCGTCTATATTCTAATTTATAAAATAAATTCTCTCTATAAAAAAAATTTAAAGACACGGTTGACAAAGCCGAGCTATTGTCAATAGACAATCGTTTGAATTTTCGGTTGATTGTTGTAAAATATCTCGAATAGCATCAGTAGACAAATGGTATACACCTTGATAATTTATCTAGATTAGAAATTTTCATTAAATGTTTTGCTTTCATGAAGAAAAAATAAATATTTTACTTTTAGTATAATGTCATTTTCTTTGAGATATTCAGTATCTATCAATGATTCAATAGCTGTAACTTGACAAGTATGTTTGTGTCGTTTGGAACGAACTTTTCTAAAGTCTGTTCCCACAGAAGATTTTAATAAGGGTCGTCGACCGTTAAGAATTGAATATGGAATTAAATGAGATGAACTTAATTGCACTGTACCTATTGTCATTGTATAGAGAGAAAGGTTTTTAGGATCATCGACATGATAAGTCGATATTTTATAATAGTCAGGTAACGGCGTTGATTGATCGAATAGATTTGGAATAATAAAATTGGTTTCTTGATCTTCATATTCATTGTCACTAACCAATGATATATTATCGTCGGTTCTATTCATATGAACAGTGGATAAAGTTAATTGGTCAAGTGCAACTGTAAAATCGCTAGGAGAACTTTCATTGTCTAATCGATCAAGTAAATAAAACAATTGACTTATGTCGAATTGTTGAATGGGAGGTGATGGTAATTGTCTTTTAATTGTTATATTTGCGTTGGCTTGTTCGCGAGATAAAAGCGAACGTGGAAAATGGCAACGTTGAAAAATTAAACCATTTGTCGAAGTCGATTGTAATGAACTTTTAGTTGAATCAGCTGTTATTTCACTGCCATTAGCGCGTCGAGCGATTGGTTTGTATAATGTTTTTCTTATGGAATGATTTGATGACGATATCGATGAGTGTCCGGATGATGATTGATGTTCTTCAGTAGTTAAACTAATATTTATTTCACTATCGTCAAAAAATATAGTCGATGATACACTCCGATCTGTTGTACTCGTTGATGAAGTGTTTGTGAAAGATTTCAACTAGAAGAATTTCATTAGTATATTAACTTTTTCTTTCTTAGTGAATTCTTACTTGTTTTTCATGATTTAAATATTGAACTAATTCGTTGGTATTATTTTCAATTTCATTTGTTGTTGTTGTTGTTTGTGAATCGGTTGTAATAGATTCAGTCATATTATTAGATTTCTTTAATGTTGAGATTTGATTTCGTCGATTATTTTGATTTAATGAACGCAAACGTCGATCGAATTCGTCTAATGTATTATCATCATGATTGAAATTTGTTTTATATCTAAGGAATTTACGATATCGATCTATGGTACCATTATCATCGAGTGAGCTGCCATCACTTCTCTTCTGAAGAAGTCCTTGCAGAAATTCATTCGCCTTTCGATATGTTTTACTACGACGATCATGTACTTCGACACCAGTTTTCTGCATACCCATTCGAGATGATGCCCATTCATATTTCGCCATAACAGCACTGTTAAGACGTTGAACATTGGAGAAGTTATCTTCTGCATTCATGTTGGTTTGTGGTTATGTGTAGATTAAAACGAACGATGAAACACACACACAATGAGAGAATGCAAAAGTCAAATAAGCAAGGAGACTATAGAACAAGAACAAGAAGAAGAAAAAATAATTATTGGAGAAAATGAGAAAATATTTCAATCAGTATGTTAAAAAAAAACGAAAATCAAAGATGACAGAAACGAACATGTTAAATAAACATATGATGACAGTAAAGGTATCGAAACAGATGTCTTACATTTACATTCGATTTACCTATGAGTACGTGATGTCGATAATGAAGAAAAAAAATATTCAAATAAATAAAAACTCAAAAAAAAGAATATGAAACTTGGTGTTGTTTTACGATAAAAAAAAGACCGAGTATTAACAATTGTGTTGATCGATCTGATTATTCATGTGCGTCTGTTTTTCTTCTGAATGAATTAAAATTTTGAAGTGGCTTTTACTTTGAGGTAAAACTATTGAAAATATTTGAATCCTTTTTGTTTATGTGATTTTAATGAGCTAGCATAAATTTACTTGTAATCACTGTGCACTGAGTGTTGTATAGGAACAGGACGCATTATGCAATGGTTTCTATTTACAATATTGAAATTCGTTGAGATAAGAGTATAGTCAATTTATGATGGCGTTTGTCATAAAATTTGCAATTGAAAATGAAATTGAAATTATGTAATAGAAACTCTTATTGGTGAATATTGCCATTTACATAAACACAGATATTCTTTAGATACATAATGTTCAGCATAATAATTTGAAGAGATTCTTAATATTATTTTCTATATTTTATCCGACTATGAAGATGATTGTCTATATTTCTTAGAGGCAAACATAGAGTTGAGCACAAAACAGCTTTAAATCTGGTAACATCGAACCCGAAAGCATTACTCGGAAGTTTTATATTTCTAACTGCTAAGCCAACAACTACTACAACAAGATACTAAATCAAAAATTGTTGCTGCTGGCTGATATTGTTTATTTCGCTTTCATTTCCTATCTATAGTTAGTGGGTTTCCTTCTTTCTCTTGTGCCCATCATGATGAGAGAAAAAAATCATTTTCTCGTCACATTTTATATGTAAATGATGAGACGTACTGTTCAAATTATAGCAACTACTTTCTATTGCTGAAAAGGCTAGATATAAGTTTGCCTACGAATTACAAGCAAGTCATATTCACAGGGAGGAAACGTTTTCTGTAATAATGTGAGAAAAATGGCAGCCTATCAATCTTCATCTTTTGTTTACTAGTAGAGTGAGAAAATATAATATAATTATATTATGTTCGGCCTCTCGCAGGGTATAGCATTAAAAACATTTACTAATTTTCTTTCAAATAAGAAATGCATACTGAATTTCTATGATTTCGGAACTAGAAATAGATTGATATAATATGTAGCATTAGTTATTTCTTCGCATGTAATATGATTAGAAACTTCCTTTACATGGTTGCGAAAGACACTTGTTTGGAATATCATATGAAAATAACAGTCTCGGAGAAAGAAAGACATTCGAAGGCAGTAGAATAACAAGCAAATATTAGAAATGTTTGATTATTTTTTATTCGAAAGCATCAGCCAGTTATACTTTATAAAAATTTGTCAATAGAATGAAACCTTGGTAGTATGAGAGTAAACAAAGAGAACAATGATCGACTTTTCCCCCTTCTATATCTATTATGATCGAGACTACTATTCATGATGATGGCTCCGCCGCTAGTCTCTTAATTAAATCCAGAAAAAATAGAATATTAAATGCCACCCGAAAGTCACATTTGTTTTTTCTCTTCTATTGCATAGAATTTACATAAAATCTTTCGTAAAATAATCAATTAGTTTTTCCATTAATATCAAAAATGCAGATGACTGTAAAAGAAATTGTTTCATTATCAGTTGAACCAATCGAACTTGTACATGTAAAAACCGATGTCTATTTGGGCAAACACCAATGAATAACAGTACGTCATCTATTTGCTTATCAAATAAGACGGAAACCGATGTGCTTGTGTGGCAAATTGGTGCTTTACTATTTCCTATTGTTGGTATACCGGGCCATCTACTTATGATAATCACAATGTTAATGTCCAATCGACGACGCCGTCAACCAACATCGTTGTATTTCATCTTTATTTCTCTTACTGAAACAATTTATTTATTATTCATATTTTGGGATTGGCTTGATGCTGTCAATTTAGTACGAGATCCACGTCAAGTACTTGACTGTGGATTTTTTTATCCATTTGTCCGTGGTACGGGATTTGTCTCGCTTATATTATTTGTTCAATTAAATATCGATCGAATTTGTATGATTTCAAAACCACAAAAAACATATTCGTATCTAACACGTAAACGAATTCTAGTAAAAATAATATTAGCATTTAGTACATTATTATTATTCATTTTTCATTATCGTTTCTCTCTTCATTATGATTCGACAGCATTTATTATATATGGGCAATCATGCCGTGTATATAAATATGCACACAGATGGTATTATTCTATATGGCCCTATATACATTTAATTTGTCGTTTAACGCCATGTGTTATTCTGATTTATTGTGCAGTATATATTTTTTATAATCGTTACGATGAAAATAATGATCGAAAAACTTCATCGCATCGACAGCAACAGAAATTTTCCTTAGTACTTGTTGTTGTTGGTATATATACGTTAACAGCTCTTATACCAATAACTATTCTACAAATATTTAATCAAGCAATGGGGAAATATGAATTCGAATGTTTTTCATGTCATTGTATAGAAAATAATATTCAAGCAAAAAATTGGAAATTATTAAATGCGTTATGTATTATGTGGGAAACTTCGATTTACATGAGTAAATTTTATATTAAATATTTATTTTCGTCGGATTTTCGTTATGATGTTAAACAAGTAATGTTTTATCGGAATACAACTGAAACTACGAATAGAACTTGATCTACGATCATGAAAAAAAGGCAACCAATGGAAGAAAGATCTCTCTGGCATAGGTTTTGTTTTGTCGGTGATTGTAATAAAAACTTGTGTCGTCATGCTTGTTAATCCAATGGATATTTATACAGCAGAAGAAACTTTCGTTGAAGATCATAGACACATCAAAGTGACATGTCTCGCTGACCTGACGACTTAAAACGAAGTAGGAGACATGCCGCATCAATGTTTACCATACCAAAGCGAGTGGAAGAGAGAGAGAGAGAGTTTTATCAGAAAGTGTTATACATACACATGTGATGTACTAGGATAATCATAGTGAATATGTAAATTATTACAAATGAAATGATAGAATGCGAAAAATTGTATGTACTTAACTGGGCACGTTAAAGAAAATATGTCCTCATAGTATTTTTTTTTGTATTATAATTATAATGATATAATGCTATTTTAAGAGCTAAATTATTCGAATTAACTAACTAAAGAAATCTACCTCTTTAATTTTCTTTACTTCAACTATCAATAACGAATGTTGCAAAGATTATACATTAGTAAGAATCCATTTCTTTTAGCGAGAGAAAATAAACCAATACAAAGCTGACACCACTTAAATGTTAAAAAACAACGATGCGACTGTTGTTTAACTCTGACGAAAAGAGCCTGTGCTATCCGACAATCCGATTGAGGTTTTGTTTTTGTTTTCAGTATTTAAATTAAAATAACATCTTATTCCTACATTGAGGGAATAAATGTTTGGAGTATTATTTTAAAATGTCTTGTATTGAGGGATGTAATCGATATCGATTATCGACACTTTGCTCAGTTTCCATGAAAATAATCGTTGACTATGGCTTCCTACTTTTTAAATATTCATAGCCAGAAAGACTATCACCAAGAAACTTCTCAGCTATGCATGTAACAATGTAGAAATCGATATTATATGCAACAAAAAAGTCATGTGTTTTTCCCCTCCCACTCTTTGTCTGAACAATCATGAGCGTCTGCTATCAATCAAATTAAACTTGAAATGGACGCGCGTAAAATAAAAATATCCAGATGAAGTTATTTTTGATCAATTGGCATGAGAAACGTCATCAGTAAACGCGATATGTATATGTAAGTAATAATTTTGCCTGGTTTGGTTGTCTCACGTATATTTTATTTTACTTGAAGAAACTTATATTCACCCATTTAAACCAACTGAAAAATTATAATATGATAATTACTCCTGATGGCAAGAAAAAAAAACAGATATTAGTAGTTTGAATTGCAAAGTAACTTCTAAAGTTTGTCTTTCTTTCAAGATTTGTTCAGCTGAACAACTTATTACAATTATTTTGTTTCGATAGCACTGATGAATATGCATAAATCAGAATATTTCGATTTACGCTGTAATTCTTGAGTACAATAAGTTTCAGCCAATCAAAACATGCATTTGTTTTTCGCGTGATGTTAAATCTACTTGGACATGTTTTTTGTAGTTAAAAACGCTTATTGCTACTCAAAATTCATTTGAGCTTAAGAAAACAAAATTTGTTAACGCCTATCAAACATAAGTTATGACATGGGAGAAGATTTATACAAAAAAAATTTCGCACGACTCATTACGTATATGATCACAATGAATATATATAGTCTGATAATCTGAATAATCAATTTCTCATTCAATGCAGGTTTCTTTCGATGAAATTCTGTTAGAAAAGAAAACAATTTTATCAAATAAATGATGCAAATCTTCAAATTTATAGAAAATTCCAATCCTGTAAGTTGATTTCTACGATCTTCGCAGTAGTAAAAAAAAACAAGGAATTTATCATGGATATCCGAAAGTTTAATCCTTTTGGTGATGTACAGTAATTGGTTGTATTCATTACGATAGAAGGTTTATAAGGTTTTATATGTATAAAAAGACTTCTCTTCTATAAATAAAGAAAAAAACAATGTAGAAGACCCTTTCTGGCGATTTAATTCATGTATTGATTTCTAATGACTAACGATTGTTTTAACCTTTATGTAAATATTAAAAACTAATATTAGAAAAGGGTGTCTTTTTTCCTCTTGCCACTTTAATGATATGTTAGTCGTCAATTGATTAGTTAAGAAATAGAAAAACTAGTAGCAAACAATAGTTCATTAGAGTTGTGTTCGATTTAATGGTACAATGCTTATCAGCAACATATTTTGCAGGAGTTTCTTAAGTCTTTTTTACAACAATGTCAACAATAAGATCATAGGCTTTCAATAAAATAGTATGTTCTAATGTGTCACACCCGGAGACCGGTGGCAAATTTGAGTATAATAAAATAACATATTTCTTACTAGAAAAAAAACCTTACTCCGGAAAGCATCTAGTTGAAAGTGAAGGAGTCAGGGGAAAGGCTTCTGTTTCTTTCAATCGGATTGTTTCAGTATATAAATTATATTGTTTAACAATACTTGAAATAAATTCGAAGCACACTGAATAATAATCAATATCAAAATACGACAATGATTTCAAAGCCATCATCTGTAACAGAAAACTACTTTCTCAATTTTGTTTCTCTAGAAATTAAAAATGTCAAGAAAACCTTAACAAATGTTAGCCATTATGACCTTTAATCAATAAATGTTAGAAATTATTGTCAGGAAATTTGAGGCAGCTGACTTGCCATTCACTGAAGTATATCGTACGTAAAATGCGTCGCCAACCTGTATTTTATTTTTCTTTTGTGCCGATAAATAAACTGCGCAATTTCAGTCAAGGGCTAACAGAGAACGATGTAGTAACCTATTCTCATCAGTAAATAAATAGCAACATGAAAAGCTGACTCAAATGACATTTGTTGCAATAAAAACCATATGAAACAATACATATGTTCTACAAAGAAAATAGTGGTTTGGTAAATTAGATTGGACTATCAAGATTTGAATGTTGAGAAAGCATCGTTGTCATCAGCAATCTAACTCTGTTGTTATTGACATTGAGATGTTATCGAGTTTGATTCTATTTCAGGAAGAGCAAATAAACAATGTCAACTTGTTGCTCTCAAAAGAAATTAGAGAAATAGAAAGAAAAAAAAAACGAGAGAACTTTGAAATGAGAACCTATTATTGTGACTACGAAATAATCACGGCTTCTTTCGAAGGAAAGAGTAGAAGACGCTTAGTATTTTAATAGCTGTATATCCAGAGGCTTCATTCTTTCTTTGTTATGAGGAAATAAAATATATGGCTGAATACTCTTTCGCTTGGTATCCATAATTGCAGAATTCTATATTTTTGTCCTTTTAACCTTAAAATAATTAGCCCAAAAAATGTTTGCAACCAATAGAAATTCAAATGAGATCAACAAATAATGAGAAAAAAATCATGTAAGTACTCGCTCAAACTGTAATTTGTTCGTTTAACCTGAGAATCAAAATGTCATTTATTATGCGTATATATAGGTTCTATCGAAACTGCATTCGATCGACGCGTATACTTCAATTAGACTAATCACCAAGTAAATATCAAATACTACTTTTAATATTAAAAAAGTGATATAATTACAAGTCATTTCTCATTCGAAAACCATTTTTTCTATCACGTTCTTTTACAGATAGATATGTATGGCATATAATTCAGGAAAAAATCAAATACTATTTTTTTCTTGTTAATATAGTTTCTATCGTCATACATCGAACATGAAGGTTTGTAAATAAAGATCAGAAATTTATAGAATAGTATCCGTCAATTTAAGCAATATCCTTCTATCAACCAATAAAACTAATGATATTTTACACAGTAGAATAATTATTATAATTCAGTATGTCATACTCCAATATATTTCCTAATATTTAGTAAAGTAAGGAGTAGGGACAATTTATAATGTAGCGATGATATCAGTAAAAATATTTTATGATAGTATCTATTTTTATCTTGAAAAGAATATAGTGAGTGTATAGGAAGGAACTCTCGGTCTAAATAAAAGTTGTTGTTTCCTGGCCTAGACTTTGTGTTCTTCAGCTAGGTGATTTATTTTTAGTCTTACCATTAGAAATTAAGATTTATAGTAACGGTTAAAGCACGTCTCGGAATTAAATATACAATAAGAGATATTCTGTTTACTTGTTTTTATACTATTAAAATCAGAATCTATCTATCATTATCAGTTATAGACTTTATTGTCAACTACATAAACTTGCCATCGTGCAAAATTATAGAAACAGAAAGTAATGTTTGATTTTTTTCTTCTTCCATAGGTATTCGTAAAAAAATATTTTTTTGTTCAACAGAGAAATTGCATTTAATTGCATGTTTCGTTTTCAATACTAGCAAATAATTGATATTTATTTTGTAATTAGTATAATTGAATGACACACACACATACGGAGAAATAATTCTTAGTTAGTTTGAAAAGACTTTTTCGCCCATACAGAAAGATTCACTGTACCCATGAAACAGTTGGCAACCATAAGGTAGGAACAAAGGACTGTTTTTTGTCAACTAAAGGCGAAAATCTACGTCAAAAGGTTCTTTCGCAAAGCCATATGTTAAATTAATCACATGTCGTAGACACGAGGTAAGAGAATTCGAGTAGAATGCAAGTCAGCGTTTTTTACCAGTAGAATAATAGTTGAAGGCTTGGGAAATACAATAGCATCAAATTTCGCTATTTATATTCTTTCTAAGAGTCATTAAATTTAAAAGAAATGACTTAAAGTAGAACATTATTTGATGTACTAGTATTCTTTTTTTAAATTTCGATACGAATAGGTCTTTCAAGTACATGTATCAATATCTATCTCTATATATACACACATATGATTCCAACACAACAATAGAGCGAGTCTACACATCGACTTGTGCACACATTGCAATAAACCCTTGTAGTTCTCTCTTTGTGCTTTTTCTCTCTTTTTCTTTGCGCCATAGTCCTTCTGCATCTTTCTTCTTCTTCTTCTTTTCTAATATTTTATTGTTGCAACTCGTCAAAAGGACTTAGTTAATGGTGTTGTTGTTAACGATAGAAGAAGAAAGAAAGAAAGAAAATAGATGATTCAGTACTTTGTGGGCAAAGTGCATATTTATGTGTGAAGAACAACGTTAAGAATGACAACATATGGGCTCATACTTTCAAAACGCAGCGTATCCTTCACTTCACTTCTTTATCTATAGTTATATGATGCTCCTTATAAGCGAAATCAATCGTTCTGTACAGTTACAACTATGGACATGATTAATAGCCTATCGGATGATCGGAGGCGGAAATTATTCGGTGCACATTCGAAAAAAAAAGAATACGCTCCGTCTACTGTCAATGTAGTGTGAATACCATGTGCATGATTCAACCTAGCGTGAAGAATTTCGGTGGCAGACGACTATATGCATGTTTATCTTATTCTTCTGTCTATGTCTACGAATAGAACGAATCAGACTATTGATGCAATCTTTTGACCTATAAGTTGTTTCTTAGAAAATATTCGTCACTAGAAAATCTATAAAGTTTACTATTTGATTTTCGAATGTCGTCAAATTTATTATGCACAGTAGAACTATATGGACGTCTTTTTATATTTCCTTGCGTATTCATTATGGTTCGACTTTCAACGGTTTGTATCCGTGGACAAGAAAGGGCGTCAACATAAAACGAAAAAAAACAAATCTTGCTTCTTTTTCTCTCTCTTTATTATTCATTTTGTTGTTCTAGACGAAAGAAATAAAAAAAATCTCAGAAAAAATACATTAATATTTAGTAATATTTTATCGTAGTGCGAAATAATTTCAGTAAGAAAAACAACACGCTCGATACGATGGATACTTATGATCATTATGGTATGAATTATCTTCAAAATGATAACCGCGGTAGTCAAAATGATGTGTCACTATATATAGAAAATTTTTCGAAAAAGGTAAGCATGATAGAGATATTTTATTAAGTACATCGGAACTTTTTTGTTCTTCTACTTCTTCGCCTATCGACAAATCGCGAGGAAAAACTATGCTAAAATGTGTTCTTACGAACTCAAAAGTACTTTTATGGAATGAAACATTCACTATCTATTAGAGAGCTAAGCATCTTATTATTTTGAGGTGTTCTGTTCATAGATAAGAAAAAGTCATTTTCTAGTATTACTGAGTTTCATTAGATAATATTGCTTTTCTTCTTGCATTCAATTGATGTCATATGACGATAGACTGAGAATGAAAAATTTATTATTTAGATGCCTCCAAATCGCTATCTGCCCAATGAATCCTGTCGTGTTTGTGGTTTCGAAAAAACCACCGGTCGTAATTTTGGTGTTATAACTTGTTCAACTTGTAAAGCATTTTTTCGAAGAAATGGCCGTATTGGTTCAGTAAGTAAACAATAATAATCATCAATCAAGCTAAACATCGACGACTTTTTGTTTTGTTTTTATTAGTCATTGCCACCTTGCCGTTTTGGCGGTCAATGTCCTATTAATGAACGAACACGTCGTCAATGTCCATCATGTCGTTTAGTAAAATGTTTTGCTGTTGGCATGCAAAAAGATTTAATTCGAACAGAAGAAGAACGTGCAGCTCGATTGGAATTAGTTAAAGTCAATCGTTTACAACGATATGACAAATCAAATCGAAAGAAACCTGCCGATTCCAATGAAACCGTTTGCTCAAATAATAAATCAACTACACAAATATTATCATCAAATGATTGGATACAATTAAAAAATATTCGTAGTGCCTATGAGCATTTTTGTTTATATCCTATTTTACGTTCCGAAGAAGACCGTGAAGAGTATTTAAATGCTCAACCAATTAAATGTCGTTTAAAAGAACATTCATTTGTAAATGCATTAAATGCACGTTTATTATCGTTAGTTGCATTTTTTCGTGCAACTATACCGATGTTTTCAACTGAGCTGAATATTTATGATCAACAATGGTTGGTTCGTACGAATTTACGTTATTTATTTACATTTTCTTCTATGGATCTAATGAATATAAGCGGAAATCAACTTTATTTTGACGAGAATAGAGCCTGTCATAATGTTCATCTGTATGTTTATGGACCAGATTTAATAAAGCGTGAAAGAAACTTAATACAAAAATTAAATGATTCCATTGGTTGTGATACAATTATAAGTAAAATTATGCAAATTATTTTGTTTCTATCACCATGTTTAGCCACTAATTATTTGCCAACGACAAGTATTTATCAGCCGTCATTAGAAACAATCTTGCATATAATTCATTCACAAGAACAGTATACTCAAGTAATATGGACATATTTGATTTATCGTTATGGAGAACTTGACGCACACAAACTATTCATGATAATTGTCGGACACGTTTTACAACAGCAGATTTATGGAGTTGATGTTGATAAAAAATTAATTGGAACACAACCATTTGGAAATCTTATTTATTCGATATTAACAACATTTTCAATGGATTAAATGAATGGAAAAAAATGACACTAATGTTTTGGATATTGAGTTACGGTCAAAGACGGTGATGTATATTGTGAAGTTATAAAAGAACACGAAACAGTACTATTTGCGTTTATAGTCTATACGTAAAAAAAAATCGTTGTTTTCTTTTTGACTTCTAGTTCGTTATATAAACTTCTGTATGTATTGTGTCTTGTCATAAAAAGATTTATCGGTTCAAAATTTACTATTATAGTATTGAATTATTTCAAAGAATAAACAGGAAAGAATTCATATAAGTTAACAAGAAGACCATGAATCTGTTTTAATGACAAGAATAAAAATAAGGTAAATTAGTGCATTACTGGCAAGTTTGCTAGCGAAGGTCATTGCGCAATGCATAATACTAATCACTGTCGCTTAACAATATTATTCATGATTGCTCGTGTAATTCAAATGCAGTCAAAAATCTTCGATAGGCTATAGTATGTAATTTATGCTGACAGTCACTCGGCGGCTAAAAGCCGGGTTACGTTTACTGTGATATATATCGATAGCTGTGTTCTTCTCCAGGTAATCTACTGGCGGCACATCGTTATATAATTGTGAACCAACATACAATAAATGATTGATCAGTGTAATGATATACCTATGTGAAGGGTGAATTACTTCAATTGTGTTGAAAATTAATGCGAACTTGATGAATCAAATGAAAATAATTAATAAACACTTCAGATGCCTGTAGTGGCAATAGAATTACAAAATACCGGCTTGCCTTCGATCTCTATGATACCAGACCGAGATTAAACAGCACGCTTTGAAAACAGAAGCGAGACATAAATTTCAAATTTCATTTATTAGCAATAGGGGTGGACCATTTTTTTTAACGGAACTTAATTAATGACATTAATTAATGACTTCCATTAGCCATTAATATTAATGGTTAATGTTTTCTAAGACAAACTTAATTCATTAATATTAATGATTAATGAAAAACATTAACATTAATTTTAAAATTAATGTTTTCATTAATCATTAATATTAATGTCAATGTTCTTGAATGATATTAACGGTTAAAGGAAACATTCACCATTAGTATGAATAGTAATGTTTTCGTTAATATTAGGGATTATATTTTCATTAATCATTAATATTAATGTTAATGTTTTCATGAAAACATTAATTTTTCCATATTACTGAATTAGGCTTTTGTAAGGAAACATTATCTACAATTATTAATCAATTAACTGATCCTAATAGATAATGTTTTCTCCGAAAGTGTTAATTACTTAATATGGAAAGTTATAATGCTTTCCTGAAAACATTAACCATTAATATTAAGTCATTGATTTTAATGAAAACATTAACATTAATATTAATGAATTAAGTTTTTCTTAGAAAACATTAAGCATTAATATTAATGGTTAATGAGAAACATTAACATTAATATAAAATTAATGTTAATGGCCCACCCCTAATTTAGCAATACATAATGATTTCCTTCGGTAGCAAATAGTACTATGAATCATGTTTATTAGTCGATATCAAATAATTTTCTTTAATTAGAACACAATTATTATTTTAACAGACGTAATATCTGATTCCTATTTATTTATCTTTTGAAATTCATAAAATACACACCGAGACGTCGACGAGCGTCTTTTTTTGTGATGTCACAAAATCGTGTTTACTACCGAAACTAACTCTTTCGAATTCTTAACCGATACATTTACACATGAATTCAACCATCTATTTTATTTTTAATAATTAATAAAATCTATTTTTTCTTGAACGAAATTCCAGACTATTGATTATCAAGTTCAGCAGCATTTTTTTATTCTTTCTAGTAGTCAAAAACTATTTCTTCTAAATCCTCAAAGTTGAAAAACAGTATATTCAATATTTCTAATCGTGACATTAAACTCTTTTAATATGTAAGCAGACTGCTAGATTTAACATTATATAAAAATAATATCATAAATATAAAATTCATCACGCCTTTGTAGTTCGTGAAAAAATAAAAATAACATGATATTATTTAATAAAATTTCCTTTTTTCATCATATGGATATATAAATATTCAAGACTGACTGTTTATATTTATAAATAGACGTTCTACTTAATATTTCAGTAGATAAAAATTAATGATGAATTGCTCGTTGATATTTATTTGAGTTTATCTGAATAAATTGAGATCGGTCGTCGTTTTGATGTAATAGACTCGGTGAAACTGAAAACACCATTTGAGTTTATATGGTGTCTACGGTGATTTGTGATTTCAAGGTTTTTCGTCTATGTTCGCTCCTGTTCTTTGAGCACTTTTTTTAGCATCGCTGTTACGTATAAGGTCACCTTGGCGAAATTTACAAAAATCAATTGCAAAGAATCCACTCTCATACGTCTTTGAAACAGCATTATGATGATTTTATTTACAGTTTGATTCAGCTTCATGCATTCAATTATTCTATATCTAACATCTCTGCAAAACAAACTCTGTTTTAACTTTTTAAGGACATTTTGAGAGTTGTTATTTGTATTTGTATACACAAATGAATGAAAATCAGTAGATGTCACTTCAAATAATTTTCTTATTCGAGAAATTTCTTTTTGCTAAATAGATTATCGAAGATTTACTAAATTAAAATTCTGAATGCATATTGAAACTGAACTATATCTAACTTAGAATTCAGAGTTCTACTGATACTATATATCGTCAACCATATTTATCCTAAGGATATTCCTTTTTTTTTGTTTTTGAACTCTCATACTTGATAAGTGTCTTTTTTTCTTGTTGATTGATGATAATTATTGAAAAAGTTATTTTTGTTTCTAGATTCGAACGATCAACATTAATTATTAAACTATGTGTTTGTAATATTATGTTTATATTTCATTTTTCGTAAATGTGTGACTTCCCTCACAATAAAAAAAAGTTAGTGATCGTCTACGAATAAGAAGCAGTTCTTTTTAATTATGCGTCTGTGGATTTAAGTTGTGCAAGGTGAAACATTTGGAATGTTGTTAGATACAGGGAAAAAAGTTGTCCTTCTCTTCCTTTTTTCCTCCTCTTTATGCTGCACCTTGTATAAATTAACTATGCTGAAACAGTAGCGACAACTTTGAATGCATCGAAAGCATGACACAGCTAAAATAAATAAGAATGAAGGAGAAAAAAAGGAGAAAAAAAGGAGAAAAAAAGGAAAGCTATTAAAGCAACGCAGTCATTTGTTGCTGTTTCATACACCGTAAATACACATTCAGCTATTGTAAAAACTATTTTTCATCATGTCTCGAGCTGCAAGTGCCACAAAATCTGGACCAACACCAGCACAACCTGCTTCAACCAATAAAGCACGAATTCATATAATCTACTATTCGATGTATGGTCATATTGCAGCAAGTAAATTTCCGATAGATTAGAACTAAAATTTGACTTATAATTAATTTTCAAATTTTTTCCTAGTGGCAAAATCAATTCTTAAAGGTGTTGAAGCAGCAGGTGCTGAAGGTCGTTTAATCCAAGTACCTGAAACATTATCGGCCGATGTTTTAGCAAAAATGCATGCACCAGAAAAAGATAAAACTGTACCAACAATAACACTAGATGAAGCCGGTGAAAATACCGTAGGACTCGAAGATGCATTGGTAAATTGTGATGGTATTCTATTGGGCGTTCCAACGCGTTTTGGTGGTATTCCAGCTCAAATGAAAGCTCTCTGGGATGCAACTGGTGGACTATGGAAGAAAGGTGCACTTGTTGGTAAACCAATTGGTGTATTCATTTCAACAGGTACACCAGGTGGCGGGTAAGAGGATGCATTTTTCATTAAGTCCAATCGAGTTTCTTTTCTTTTCTGTCTATAGACAAGAAACAACGACACTGACATCGTTAACCAACTTTTGTCATCATGGTATGATTTTTGTAAGTAGTAATCAGCACTCATTGTTTGAAAAATGTTATATCATCTATTATTATTATTCAGGTACCAATAGGTTATTCATCTCCACTTCTCATGAATTTGACTGAGATACATGGTGGTAGTCCATACGGTGCAGGTGAGTCTCCTTATTTTACATTTGAGTTTTTATACGAACTTTAATATATGGCTAGGTACTTTTTCTGCTCCTGATGGAACACGCCAACCAAGTCAACTTGAATTACAAGTAGCAGAACATCAAGGAACACTTTTCGCACACACAGCAACGGCATTGAAGGTTGGCCGAGCTGCTACATCCGATCAAACAAAAACTGAACGACCAACATCATCGAAAAAATAAGCTGGTCTTCTTACAAGTACAAGCCATCTAGACTGATTTAAATTTAGTTTTCTTACTTTCCGTTTTTTTTTCATTAAGGACATGCCAAACTAACATTTTCATTAATACAGTTGATAAAATAGCAATATTTTCATCAATCTTTTTGCAAAAATAAATGAAATTATTCTAATATGATTTCTATTGGTTAAAGGATCATTGAAGCTTTTTTAAGTTTTTTATACTCGATTCGTTCCTTTTCAACACGCTGAATGTGAAAAACAAAAATTAATGAAATAAAAAGTTTGACTTCTCGAAAATTCATATGAAAAAAAGTATCATTATTTCATTTACTAAACTCAAACAACAGCGAAAATTATTCAACCGATAGATGCAAAAATCTAAGCATATTAGTTTAACTTGTACGCTCACGTCAATTATCTTTACTATTATAGTTTGCATCAATTGTCCATTTTAATTATGCACTAAATATCAGAAGTGCTCAATCAGAAGTTATTATTAATGATGCACTTTTGATGTTTGCGACCTCACCGACACGAAGAGTTCAAAAAGAGAATTTACATCTCTGAATGGCAGACATCACCAAGGAAACATCACACACAGATGAAAAACGACTTATCACACACACCTGATAGTCACCCTTAACAGCTTACTTTTTTCCATCACACACGATAGAAGAGGCCTTAGCAACAACTCGTCTTTTCTGTATATCCGTCTATTAATAATATATTGTGTACTCAAAAAGCAAGTACACTCTAGATTCGGTTAGTGCGTCCGGCCGTTAACACGATAACTCTTGAAAGCCTCATCCAATTGTCTTGAAATTTTGTACACAGAACCATCTCAGCAATATCCCAGTCGAGTTCATTCCACTTTTTTCGACCGTACTATATACACGTATTCTTTTACGTTCTTTGATCTTTATCATCTCGATATATACCATTCGGTCAGCGCGTGATCATCGAACGCCTGGCTAATATACTAATTAATTAGCTACGATGACCAATAACGAGGAAACGGAACAAAGTCCGTTCAAGCTCCCCGAACGTACCATCAATTTAAATGAAAATCAGTACACTACAGCGCAGTTAGTTAGTAATTCATTAAAACTCGTCAATGATGACTCATTTAAACCAATTCATAAACCTCGTAACCAACAGCTACAAGGAATCGATCAGAATAATGAAAACACAACGGATACTACAAACGTTCATCCAATTAATTCGCCTGCACGGTCAATAAGACGTATGCATTCTGACGACTTAGATGATGATTTCATCAGAGTTACATACAAGAAAAAAAGAAATTCAAACGGTGGTACCCATAATAGCCTTCATGCAACTACGTCAAATATTCATGATCAACCTTCAAGCAGCAACGTTATTAATGCCAAGGGGCATTCAAATTCTTATCAGAGAACAATTGTCAATTCGAACCTACGACAACCACAACCAAAACATACAACAAATGTATCAACTCAACAAGACATCTCATCAGCCGCAACTCGATACGCACAAACCAGGTATCCATTTCCACCATTTATAATAAGATTTCCGTTAAAAAACATCAATGATAAACATGTAGCCGAAGAAATAAGTCTACACTTCAAACAGCAGCATCAACTAGATCTTTCGTTTCTCAACTATCGAAGCTCGCAAGCCAAATGTTTAGAAAATGAACAAGATGTGTTACTTTATGTTAAAGATGTTGAATCATTCACAAACTTATTAGATTATAAAAAGTGGCCAATAACATTAGATAACAACAGCTTTACTGTTCCATCTACCCCATCGATACCACCTCAACTATCGCTTATCATAAAAAATGTTGACCTACGTATCAATATAAATGAATTCACTGAACATATAAAACTTCAATTTCCTGAAGTAAAAAATGTTATAAGACTTAAAAATAAAATGCAACAAGAAATACGATATATCAAAATTGAATTCATCTCTTATCTTGCTCGTAATGAAATGCTTAAGAAAGGAAGAATTAACATTGATTATAGGACATATGATATTGAAGAATATCTAGCACCTGCCGGTGTCCTCATCTGCAGCAAATGCTGTGGAATAGGGCATTTCAAGCGCCAGTGCACACAAGATGCCATTACATGTAAATTATGTGGACAAACGTATACCGATGTTAAACAACATACATGCACCAACGTACCAAAATGCGTGCACTGTGACGGTGCACATGAATCTAATGCTACCAACTGACCAATCGTCAAACAGTTCAGAGCTGACTTAACGAAAAAGTTGTTACACTCAAATTCTACTACTACAAACAATAACCAGTACAGCTACGATCCCAATCATTTTCCTGCTTTAGCTCCTAATCGAAATTCGTCGATTGGGTGGTCAAACAACAATGTTATATCAAAACTCGATTTACTCGTGCAAAGTGTAAATCAAGTTAATGACAAAATTAATAAATTATCATCATGGCCAGAGATGGGCAGCTCCGACTCCGGAGCGGCCGCTCCTTGGAGCTAGCTCCGCTCCATGGAGCGGAGCGGAGCTGAGCGACTCATCAGAACAGTGGAGCTGGAGCGGAGTCGGAGCGACTTTTGTTTCACCTAGACCGGAGCTGGAGCGGAGCTGGAGCGAGTCAGAGTGGAGCGGGAGCGGAGTCGGAGCGGCCTTTTTTTGTCTAGCTCCAATCATGCGCTCCTTTTCCGATTAATTTCGATTATAATTGATTAAAATTTGATAAAAAATCGATTTTAATTGATTTTATTCATGATTCATGACAAATATTTAACTGGTATTCATCGATCTGCATGAATCGAAATCAATTTAGCTAATCAAATTTTAATCTTTTTTTTATCCCTAAGATTTCTACATGGTTTTTCTGTGAACGAAGACGGGGAATTAGTGAAAGAAAAGCTCGTCGTCTAGTATTCTATGTTAAGAATATGTCATTGTTACATTTTAATCAATGACAACGCTTGAGATAATGACTGACTGTTCATTTAGTTGATTTTTATATGGCTGATTGAACTCCGCTGTTGTTAGTTTGATAATGTACAAACACAACTCCGACGAAAAGAGAAATTAAAGCAAATAAAATGTGAGAGAATTGAGTAACGATAGAATAGAACAACATTTTTTCGTTCAACTGAAAGTTGAAGGAACAGACTATGGTGTGGGTCTTGATTTTTATCTCATCTTGAACTAAACTAAACCCACATCCACTCTCTAAAAATGTGTTCTTAATGTTAAATTTACTAAAATGCAATCGACAATCATTGCACTTCACTAGTCTATTTATCATCAGAAATAATTTTCATGTCGTAATACAGCTAACTTAAAAGTATTGACGATTCAGTTTTTGTTAAATGTATTGATAATTAGTTTTTGTTAATTATATTATTAATGATTGCTTTCCTATATTCTCTCTCTCTCTCTCTTTCTATATATATATATATATGTATGCTGAAGTGAAAAATGAAATTCATTGAATATTATCTAATTTCAAGAAAAATAGGGGAAAAGGCTGTTTCGTTAAAGCGGAGCTGGAGCTGGAGCTGGAGCGGAGCTGGAGCGAAGTCAGAGTGGAGCGGGAGCGGAGTCGGAGCGCTTATTTTTTATTCGGGCCGGAGCTGGAGCGGAGCTGGAGCGAGTCAGAGTGGAGCGGGAGCGGAGTCGGAGCGCTTATTTTTTATTCGGACCGGAGCTGGGGCGGAGCTGGAGCGAGAAATGGTCGGAGCTGCCCATCTCTGATCCGAAGTAACATTCGTTAAAAGTTTTCGAAGTTGAGTTGAACTTCTCATTTCACCTGTCCAAGGTGCAATCCAAATTAATTTCTCTCGATTGTCAGGTGTTACGTTTTCAAGAATCTCTTTCCATAAAGTTTTACTATCATATCAAGGTCGATCGACAACGGCAAGAGGATATTGAGTAGAGAGTATTCCTGTATTATTTTCAATAGCATCTATACCACAAATATGGATTATTGAAATGTTGAAGCCTTTGCCAAATCGATCGTCACATTCCTGTAAAATAGCTTGTGAAAGTTTGTCCGGTGAACAATAACTTCGATTAACCATCCAACGCGTGCCTTCAGTAGCAAGTAACAGTAAAGCATCTCTATGTCCATCAGGTAAATGTTTTCCTGCTAGTTTTTTCCCTAACCAACTGCTAGACGATGGACACAAGTAGCTGTCAAGGATTTCGAAGTTGTGGAGTGGACTCTCAAGAGCGTTGGCAGCAAAGTCAATGACCGCAAGATGATTCAAATGAATTGGACAAAAGCTGCCACCATAGACAAGAATCACCTGTTTTTCCTTGCTGTTTACATCTGAGGGATGATTGATCTTGTCGAAAGGTAGTTTTCTTCCACAAGGAAATCTAACCAAGGGTGATGTCCAGGCACCACAATAGGTCAACAATTGCTTGAGACATTCAAAAATATTTGATCGACAAAGAGAATGCTCAACATCAGCAATACAATTGAGACGTCTGACGAGATTATGCAAGTTGAAACGCATCTCATATCCATCAATAAAACTTCCAATAGCTTCAAAGTATGATTGAATGAATTTATGAGTCATTGTATGCATGTCAGCTTCGTATGGACCATCAAACATGGTCAAGTTATCGTTTTCGTCGATAGACCTATTTCTGCCATTGAAGTCACCACGAAGAAGGCACGGTTGAATTTGAGCTTGAGTTGTGTTGAGGAACCATGGTACGTATGGAATGAGTCGATCGCAAAGCAGAATCAACTCCATATTTTTGTCATAATGGTTAATAAGATCAGTATCGTATTTCATTCTCAGAAAAAACTGGTTTTAAACGTTGTTCGAGATAAAAACTACATCAATCACTATCCCAAGCGTTGTCTTGTTCGGTATGTACAAAAAATTGTTAATATGAAATCCAAATAGACCACCATGAGGAGATAATACTATGTTTCTCTGCTGATGTCTGATGCATTTTGGCAATGGCTCGTGTAAATCTGCGATATTGTTCGTTTGTTTGTTTTTTTCTTCTTACTTCTTGCCATTGTTACATATTCAGCAAGAAACCAACTCCCTTGATTGTCATTATCGATTGTAGACATATTTCCGATGCCGATCGGTTGAGGTATACGAATAAATGGTGTGCATACTTCGCGAAGTGCATGAGAACCAATAATCTCAGCATCGAACATCTGTTGAGCATGTTTTCTCATATTAATTTTGACAAAAAATGAGTCAGGACTCGTATCATTGTTGTTCTGTGAGTTTATTTTGACCATAAATGAATGACTCACATAACCACCAGCTATGTGTTTAACTGTAAATTCATTGTGATCACTGCATGGAATGGTTGGTTTTGACAAAGAAAGAATTTGAGTTCGAAGTGAAGAAGATTTTTTCAGCATGAATTGTTGTAGATCAAGAGCACTTCAAATTATCAATGTGTCATAAAAAAAAGTTTGCATATAATAGAGGAAGGCAACAAGCCTGAATTGTGCATTTGATTTTCTCGATTCTAACTGAGAACCATTTGACGAAGTGAATTTAGCCATGATGAAAATCAACCTCTCTATAAACTTTACAGATTCCTTTAAAATTCTCTCTCATCATTTGTTTCAATAAAAATGATTATTTTTTATTTGCAATAGCACGAAGTTTGTGAATAGATATTATCTACAGCTTGCCTCTGACTTTTAATGAAATAAAAGTAGCAAAAATTTCATACTTTTTTCTTTCTTACTTTGGACAGTACATTCTTCACTCAGATACTTTGTTAGTGGATCGTGTGCATTTTCTACTTGATTTTCGATGCCAGCTTCAAGATGATAACACTGATCAACGCAAACCTTGTTTTGTTCAGATGTCTCACTCAAAGCACAAACCATCAACGAGGAGACAGATAAACTGCAGACGAATGAAAATAAAAGTACGATTTGCGACAGGGCACATTTCTCTCACTTACTAAAAGTTCGACGTTATTCGTCATTGAAATTTATATCTTGTGTTTTGAATATGACATGACAGATGAAGTCGTTGAAGTTCAAAATTGTGCAATAACTAACATTATATTGCCACGATTACGCTCTTATCAAACTATGAATTACAACGCTATTTTTCTCTTTCGTCGCATAAAATTACTCATTCAGTAACATAATAAGTATATTCACAACTTTCTAACCTAGCAGGGGAAGCGAATCAAATTTCAATAATTTCTTTCCTTCAAATCAATGTAATTGGTTTATCGCCTGTGTCGTTGCTAGACCGATTGTGTCGCTAGCATCAAGATATAATCTCTGGTCAGTTAGAACGAAACTCATGGAAAAAATGCCAATCATTATCGAATACCTCTTGCATATCGAAGGGTGTGGGTGTAGGTGGGTGTACATATGAGTTTGACTGAAATAAAGACACCCACATCCTCGATTCGAATGCAGCTTTTTTTATTAAACACAATTGAAATCAATGAAGAGAAGACTACTTTTCGAATATATTTTAGCATTCAGAATTTGTTAAACGTCGTTCATAAGAAAGAATTCATCACATAATTGAGATGGTTATGCATTTTGCCATTAACAGAATTAGTTCAAATGCCTCGGATAAATAAATGCGACACGTAATCGGTTAATTTTGCCAGAGTTGAAAACTATTCACTTCCTATGAATAAAATTACTATACTGTTTGGTCTAGTCGTCACTTAGATAAAAATAATCGAGATTGTTAATGGTGAAATCATATACTCACATGAAAAACAGGATTAATGTTATTTGATGGAAGTTTTTGTAGAAGATTAATAGCACGTTCGTAATCATGCAACATAGTGCATGCTGTTATTGCCATGCCAATATTAAAATCCGTGTGTAGATGAGGCTGTTGACCGAACTGTTTTAAAGCTTCTTCATATTGTTTGTAGTCAATGAACTTTGTCAATGTGCAGTTTAATTTTGTCGAGGAAGAAATAGAAATATTTTTGCGCTGTTTTTCGACAGAAGAATAATAAACACTGAAGTCGATAGATCGAACAGGTATGTTTCTTATCAGCAGCATAATATGATGTTGAATACAAAAAAATTGATTTGAAGTTCAAACAAGAAAGACTAAATTAACATTAGATTATTTTTCTTAGAAAATAATCAATAGTTTATCAAAAAATTAGATTATTTATCTAAAAAGTAAACAAACTCTTTAATGTTGCATATCAATAGGAAAAACATTCATAATGAAACCTTGAAGATAAGAAGTGTTCGTCAGTAATTGTTATATACAAAAAGAAAAGAAATTCATTAAATCATATACCTACTCTATATTCATTATGCTGTATATGATATTCATTTAACAAATGCGTATCGTATACATTTATCTATTAAAGTCAATTTCTGGCTGTGATGGTTCTTCATCTACATCAATCGATGACAAGTCATCTAATAAATATTAATACAGAAGGGTTATATGGATCATGTTTGAATTGTTTTAAATTACCCAGCAATATCATTCAAAATGAAATTCATATAAACCTTTTCTTCTATTAAAAAAACTAATATGTAGGAACTCGCATGTACCCATTAGTCCTATTTTTCACATTTCCTACGCAAGATGTGACTAGAAAAAGGTGCTTGTTAGATGTATTTACGAATATAATAGTTTTCTCTAGATTGATATTGCTCCACCACCTGTGATTTGAAGCCTTTTCATTTTCACACTGTCGATGAACTCATGGAAGGATTTTGACATGTTTCCGTGGTTTGACAGAAAATTGTACTTCTAATGTTTGACGCCAATTCCTATGAGGATTAATACCGACTCTCTGAAAAACATAATTCCAGTTTCATATAATCAAATAAAGACATTCCATGAATATACATATATTACTGTGTGATAAGAAATATAACTACATTAATTTATAATCAAAACCCATAATGAATTTCTTAATGAAATCATCTATCACCATTAGAGAAAAAGCTTGTTAGCGCAGCTACTGTGTAGCTGAAATGTGGAACTCACATATTCCGCAAAAAAGAACAAAGTTATACACTCGTAATTCTTTTTTGTAATAAAGTATGGTATAAACTATACAACGGGTGAAAAATACCGGTCAAGCCTGATTGCGCTTATTGACGGTGGTCAATATAATCAAAGAGGTATCAAAAAGCTTCCCAGGTGAATGAATCCTGTGACAGATCCTATCACTCAACAGAATGCGATGGGATTTCGGGTTACGAATTGACTGTCGGCTCCGACCGAAAAAAAATTTTCTTAATTAGGGGTGAATATGCATATTTTCTCATAAGAACACTAGGGTCATACGTTCATGTTGGATTCCGTTAATTTCCAACACTGGATCCTATGGGATTCCTACACTAAGGATCCGACTGTAGGTCCTGATCCCGGAATCCTATAGGATTTCGTTGGTTTTATTGGAATCCATGGATATTTGGTATATTCACGGTCTGACCCTTGTCGGAATCCGATAGGATCCTAGTCTCGGAATGACTCTCCTGGG